AAGTTGTAAAGACGACTTGATATTGCGGAAACTTCATCTGGTTTGGTGGGGACTAGACGTAGCCTAAGTGGACAAGGATGAACCAATATTCCAATATAAAGTCCTTTCAGTATGCTCTCTTAATCTCTAACTGTCAAGCTTATATATTCTGATTTCAGAGTAAAAACCTGTTTAGCCTATCAAGAAAGTCAAAAGATCTGATGAAGTCAAAAGACTTGTGCAAATTGATAAACTCATGTTACCTTGAAAAAAGTTTCTTATCAATATAATATGTTTTTAACTCTGACCTGAGAAGATTAAGCCTTCTCAATATTTGTAAACTCCAAGTAACACTTGGGAAACACCTCAGAAGAGTGACAAAATTTCAGGCTGCTAAATTTTCAAAGTAGTCACAATTCAACCCCCTTCTTGTGACTGAATTTTCTCTATTTATTTACATGATAAATGATGATGTATTCATTAAGTAAAACAAGGCTATCTGGCTATGTCATGTTAGTAATATAATACAAGCTAAACATAACACAAAAAAGCAACATACCTTATGATTAGCAACATTGCTTGGCAAATCTATATTCAAAAAGCATCTTTGAGGGTATCTTTGATTCTTTATCTCAACTAGGAAGGCACTGATGATAGGTATGCATACTTGCGCAGCAAGGGTGAAGTCATTAAGTTGCTCTTTCCTTTAACCCTGCACTTATAGTAACCCCCAAATGGTCAAATAGGACAATAAACAGCAGTTGAGAAAAAAGAAAGATTATTGGGTAGCTTATAATATAATGCTTGCGAGACATATTACTTAGAGACATTCATCCAGTCATAGTTCCATTTATATGTTGACAAAAACTCTTTAATATTCAATCCAAAACAAATATTCAAATAAGTTCAGCAATATAGCCATAGAATATTGCAAAGATACCAGTCGTATGAAATGGAGATAGCATGCATATCATAGAAGAAAGCCTGGACATAGCAGGTATATCATAGAAGAAAGCCTCTTGTGCTCTAGCTACCGTGCCTGAGAAGGGACCCTACATAGTACATCTATAAGCACAAAAATGCTGCATGGATTAATGAATCCTGACGATGGGCAATGGTACTTTTAACAAAAGAATAGGGCCTAAAACTCTGCCTCCTCCTTCCCTGTTTCTTGGCAAACAAGCATCCATTTTTTAAGTCATAAAGGAATAATTTGAAGTTCAGAAGTAGAAAAGTATTAAGAATTTAAGATGACTAAAGATGTGGACGTGAGAAATAAAAAGATGCTACATACATGTGATAACCACAATTGCTACCCATGTTTATGCCACTGACTACCTGTTCATATGCAGAACATATATTAGCAACCAGCTGGATGAATTTATTTATCTTGCATAACTTAGTCAAATAGGTCCTATATGCAAGGAATTTCTCAGACAAAAAGAATCTCTGAACAAAATAATAAAAGTCGAAAACCAGAACTAGCGCAAATAGGAGACAAAATCCCACTGTCCTGGAAGTTTTCTTACACCTTTTAAAGATTCTCCTAAAGCTTGTAATAGCGAAGGTGGAGTAAGGGCAATCTTTATACTCAGGCTTAACCTTGCATATTTGTAAAGACTGTGTCCTAGATTCGAACCTATGACCTTTCGGTCACACTTTTAAAGATTTTCTAAATAAATAAAAAGGCTTGCAATAATGTGATAAAGAAAAATAGTCAAGAAGACAACAGAGTACCGGGAAAAAAGTCCATTCCAGCAATGTAATAACTTAGAGAGCAAAACTAAATATTCAAACGGAAAATGTACCAAATTATCTACTGTAGGAAAGAGTGTTTTAGAAATTCCCAGGGAAGTACAATCAGCAGGAGTCCCTGCAAATAATTTGCATGCAAACATTCTGTAAGACAAGAGAATCTAATGTATTTAAATGCAGTTCCACCAAAAGTAATTTAAAAGAAATAATCAAGCATTCAAATTATGATGTAATTTTCTGTTCCCTAATGTTAAAGATCGGAAATTACGTTCAGCATTTCCAAAGAGGACCAAAAGTGATAAAAAATTGTTGAGAGACTGAAGATATATATGGATCTGGAGTCAAATAAAAGGGAGAAAATTTAAATTAATCAAAGAATGAGGGAAAAATAATTTAAATAACTGACAAGAGTTTTAAGTTATAAACTATAAAGTATACACATAAACTGATGGGAAACTTAGTGCATTCACTGACAGACCCAGTTGCCACACTATATTTCCATCAATTGGCACAAGCTTGCTACACTTTCACAACAAATCAGTCACTTTCACCCATACGGATGAGTTCCCAATTGTCTAGAAACTACCGAGATATACGGTTCTAATTTCTAAATCCAGATATTTAATATCTTATTCCAAAGACTACCGGTAACTCAAATAAATTAGAGGTAAGTCCAAATCTCAAGCTTAACATCAGGCAGAACACATCATATAACATGAGGTCACCCAAGATCCATCACCCTTTCCATAGGGCTCAAAATTGCTACAGGACATCTATATTTGGAATAATGTCAAAGGATGTAATGGAAGGGATGGAATGAAATGACATTTGTTGCCATTGTGTGGAACTGTTTAAAATGCGATGGAATTGAATGGAACCTGATGGAATCTATTCCATCCAATACCTCTATTTTTAACCCCTAATTTGAAGTATAAGATGGAAACAACTTACTGTTTACTAATTTCCTTGTCATTCTGTTCACTTTACAAATAATAGAATAAAAAATTTCTTCCATTCTATCATAAAATATCCAAATAATTATGTGAGAATTTAATTTCATTCCTTCTAATTCATCATAAGATATCCAAACATAACTTGAAGGTGAAGGGGGTTAAATAATCAAAATGATAAAAAGAGAAAATAAACGTACATATTTGTTCTTGACTCTTGAGGATGTGCAGAGTGAGCTAGTTTGAATACGCAGAAGCACAGAAAAAATATAGATGACATCCATCAATGTTAACTTTATTAGCGGCTATAGGGTGAAGCCAAGTAATACTGTGACTAACAACTGAGTTCTCACTGGAAATGATCCAATTTTTGAAACAGAAAAACAGAACCAGTACAAGTTAACAAATGTAATACAAACCACAAAGTGCCAGAAAAATCAAGTGTTGCTACAAAGACCAAATAAACAAACAAAATAATAATGCAGCGTTGAGAGACGAAGAGAGAAAAAAATAGGGTACTTATCAGGGGCGCAGACTTGAACATTGTAATGATTGGTGGCGAGGAAAGCGTGAACCAAATCTCTGAGACCAGGTGCATCGATTCCATAGTCGTTTCTTCCATCTTAAGAACATGAGAGAGAGAGAGAGTAATAAAAAAAATGTAATTATTAAGAATTATTTTTGTAGGTAGAAAATTGGTTAAAATAACTTAAAATGTTTTATTATTGAAAAATTATTTTCTCTTTTTACGTGAGATAATTATTTGATATATTTTTTTGAAAAAATATTTAATATTTTAAATAACACAAAGATATATTATTTTTAATAAAATTATATTATTTTAGTATTTTTTATATTTTATTTTTTTATAAAGTTAGGAAGAAAAAGAAAGCTGAGGAGAGAAAATGTAAAAATGCATATAGTTTCATAAATGACATAATTTTGTATCAATTAAATGACACATATTTTTTTCCTTTTTTAGCATTTAAAAATGAGAAAAATATTTGTCTTTTTAAAGGAGATAAAGTTATATCATTTTAGGTGAAAGAAAGACACAACATAGTATTTTATATTTGAAATTTAAATTTTAAAAAAATTCACTTATTTTTCTTTCATGATTTTCATTACTTGTGTCTTTCTCTTATGAAAAAATAACATAATATTATGTCATTTAAAAGAACAAACACGACTAGGGAGAGATTTATCCACTTAATATAATCTCCCGCTTTAAAAATAATTAATCTTCGACTGTCGAGTGAAGGATACCTTGAAAAACCAAAAAAAAAAAAAAAAAAGGAGAAACACTAAACCCATAAAAGATTGTGCCACCATTTTTTTTAATGGATGATGGATCTCTCTCCACATCATGTGTGATGTGTCTATGATAAAATATATCTATTTCTAACATCAAAAAATACAATCTCGTTTATTGTTGGGAAATATGTTTAATTTGACTTATAAGATAAATTATCTTATGCAACACATAATAGAGTGAGTGAAATCCACTATAGAGTAGAGAGAAAAAGATAAAAAAAAAATAAAAAAAGTTTCTTATTTTTTGGTGTATTGTACGAGATAATTAATCCGATAGAATGTGAGAAACACATTTTCCTTTTCTTATTTAGTAGTAAAAAAAAGGAAAAAGTTCACCAATGCCCCGGTGGTTTGCTTCAGAATCATTTATGTTCCTGTGGTTTTTTTCTATCACATATGTCCCTGTGCTTTGTAAAAAATAAGAAACCACAGGGGTATATGTGATAAAAAACATACCATTTTACAAACCACATGGGCATATGTGATAAGAAAAAAACCACAGGAGCATAAGTGATTCTGAAGTAAACCACAAGGGCATTGGTGAACTTTTCTCTAAAAAAAATGGATTACTCTTTTCTCGTATCCTATGACACAATAAATAATGAAACCCACAGTTTATTAAAAAAAAAACAGATTTCGATATCTCTTGATACGAGAAAGTTATCCTATTGCATAATAAAATAAGGGTTTTATAAGAGTTATGTTGTAGGAAAAGTGATTGTGTAATGTTATAGAGATTCGTTTTGCGTGCCTTAATTTTTTATTTATTTTTTTGTTTTAAAAAGTGTGGGCCCCACAAAATGTTGTGAGTGTAGGAAAGTTTGTTGTGTTATGTTAAAGGATAAAATAAAACCCATAAAATAATTTCCCTAAAAAATAACGGTGGGTAAAAGGAGCAAAGAAGCACCCAAACGGCACCGTGTCTCTCTCATTCTCGCATGTATCTGCTGTGACTCTGAGCCGTTCTCTGCTTTCGCTGTTAGTGCTTTGTGTCATGTAAACTTGATCTTCTTCACTAATTGTCTTGTGCTCTTTCTGGGTTTTTGCTATTTTGTTTGTTCTGTAACTGGCGATGTCCCTTACATTTTTTGATGATCTGGTTGAATCATATGTTTTTCACAAGTATCTTGTACCATGGAGCATTATTTATCTGTGCCTGAAACCCATTCACATGCTAACGTTTCAATGTCGTTCCTTTCCTTATTAATCTTAAAAAACAAAAAAAATTTGAAAACAATTTCTTGTTTAAATTCTTTATATTTTTTCTTTTCGATTCTCTTCCCACTTGAATTTTATATTGTGGGTTCATGTTTCTTTCCTTTTTACTTTTTTTTCTTTCTTAAAAACTGTGGCGTGGAGATATAGTGACACAAATCTATTTCTTTAATCCACAAGTAGAAGTAGGATGGGAATTGGGAAATGAGTAATAAGTTAATGAACTTCTGGATGATTTATCTATAAATTTGTGTGATATTTTTTGGAGGGGTTTAAAGCCTTAATCTTGGACCCGTCCCGAATCGGATTAGTTGCTAAGCAATGAACCGAAAAAAAGAAAAAGAAAAAAAGAAAGTAGGGCATAATTATTTCACTGTTCAGGTTCCAATTTTTTTTCCTTGTTTTTCTGCCCTGACCTCTCTAATATATGGTGAGTGCAGCATCTAATTGTAGAACAAGTATCTCATATGGGTTTGAATTCTCTTCTTATTGTCTGAAAGCTAAACAAATGTCGGGTTCAAGGTTTCTCTTCAGTAATGGCATCCTTTCACACACCTTAGATGCTCCTCCAGTTAAAGTCTTCCTTGAAGCTCATACAGGTACATTCAAAATGAGTAAATATTTTAGTAAATCAAGTAAATAACTCTTATAAGAATTTCTTATGCCTTTCCTGGTTTATTTTAAAACTGATTTGGATAGCTTCTGGTCCAGGTGCTTACACAACATCACGTACTCACAACAATGCTTCATGCTTGTTATTTTGGGAAAGACATATGAAAAGACTTTCAGAATCTATACTAATTCTATCAAATTTGGCTCCACGGCTTCTATTTAAATATAATAATTCTGCAATTTCGCTGCCATCATCAACAACCTTGCCAATATTGCAACCCATAGTGCAGATGCTTGTTAAGGATTCAATGTGCAAGGTCTTGCCAATTGCATTGAAAGAGAGGATTGATTGTGAGGAGCTGGCCATTACAACTCTTGTTAGCGGTAATTTGGAAGAATTGAATGCATGTGAGACTGTGGATGAGAAAAGATTGAATAAAATTCTTGATGTGCATGCGCATGTTGAGACTTATTTCCCTCCTGCATTTGGTATCCGAGGAAATGGTGCACATTTGGCTGTAGTGGGATATGGGAGGGATGTTGCAGCTGCAAAATATTCAGATTGGGTAAGGTTAGTTTATGCCATTTGAATTAGAAGCGTTATTAATCTCTTCTATGCTTTTTCTGAAATCCTATAAAAGACAACCTGGTGCTATTCCTGAAATCCTATTTGAGAAAAATAATAGGACATTAATTAATGAGGGTACTGACACTTAAATGTATGAGCATTTTTTATCTATTATTGTTTTCTTAAAATTGCTTCAATGAGTTGTTTAGAGTCTAGACTCTCGAGGCATTTTGTTTTGTAGATTAAGTTCTAGAAGGGAGACATCCAGGAATCAATGGTGAAGATTTATTCAAACATACAATTGAAGAACTGTTAGAAATTATTGATATAATATTGTCCTGTCTTAGAAATACTCTTTCTATTCTATTTCAAGCCAGCATGTGTTATTTAATGATTTGGCTTCTCAGGTTTTATTTTATGTTTAAAAGGGACACCAGTGACTTCATTATTGATTTCCCGGATTTTATTTGGCATGTCTGTCACATGATTATAGATTAAATATGTTAATGCTTTTTGAAACCAGAACCAAATTTTTATTAAAAAAAAAAAAAAAACTTATTTTTAGGGTCTATAAATCCTGTATCGAATTGATTCTCTTTTAAACTTTATTATTAATATTTATAAATGCCAGTGGAAACTTAAAAAATATAAAGATTGATATTATGTTTTGGAATTGAAAATTGCATAATTTTTTCCTTCCCTTTTGCAGTCATCTTGTTTTGCTTTAGGGTTGGAAAGAGGGGGGGGGGGGGGGGGGGGGTGTTGGGGCAAAGAATGGAGGACAGAATGCATTGTTGTAGAAATTTATATATAGGTTCAAATCATGTTAGTTATAACTTTTAGAATCTTCCCTTGTGTGCAACCCCCACCCTCTCCATGCTCTCTTGCATCTATCTACAAAATCAAGTCTTTGACAATATAAAATTGCAGTAGTCATTGTAAAGAACCAATTCAACATTAAGCTTTTGGGTTGAATTGGTTCTTTACAGTCATCTTTCTTACTTCTTGTAGTGCAGATGTTCCTTGAAATTATTAGTTGGAAATTTTGTCTACAATGCAGGATTAGGAAGACTCTGGAAAAGCTCAGGCCCCCTTCAGTGACAGAACTGTTGCTGTCTAATGATGGTGATCAGATACTTGAAGGATGTGTGACAAATTTTTTCATTGTATGCTGCAAGGTGAGCTTATTTGATCTCTCAGCATAAATTCTTGTTTACAAGCTTATTTTATGCTAGAATTCTCTGAGCCTTTTTCTTAGTAACCCTACTTTTGCTGAATCACCTCCAATAATTTGATCTAAAGCTGTTGCTAAACATGGTTGGATTGCTCATACTTTGGTATTGTAATAGGACTTCTTTGAGTTATTGTAATGCTAAAACTTATGCAGTGAGCTTGCTTTAAATAAAAGTGATTGTTGGCTAGGATGGACTAATTTTTTATAGAGATTAACAAGCATAGCTTTTTACTACAAACCTTCTAGTTCAGCTTCTATTCATTTTGTAGTATGGTAATTTTCAGAATGAATTCCTATTCTTTGTTTGTCATGTTGATGACTAAAACAGTGCTCGTTTCCTCATCGATTTCCAAGCCTTTATTTAGTTTGTTTTCTATTTAAAATATTATTTTATTGCTTTCTTGATCATTTGATGCTCACTACATTTATCGACTGCAAAAGGAATCATGATTTGAGTTTCTCCCGTGTTTCTGCTTTTTTTGTGTTTATTAAAACATTATATGAAATAAGCTTATGGATCATGGATTTTACTTTATCCTTCTGGTTGTGGTATACGTGCATGTACATCTTTTAGTGTTCATTTCCTATTTTATAATAGGATTGGGATTCAGATGATGGGAAGGCCCTGAGTGATTATGGAAATAAATACCCTTTTGAAGTACGGACAGCCCCTATCACTGATGGTGTTCTTCCAGGAACAATACGCCAACTAGTGCTTGAGTATGATTTGATTATAAATCTTCTTCTTTTTTGCTGCTGTATTTTCTTCGACCACAGAGGAACTATGCCCTTGCATAGAAATTGTAGAAAAATTTATGTTATTTACAATGGACTATAGTTCAACAATTTGCTTCATACTAGTATCGAATTAGGGCTTTATCTTATATTGCTAACAATAAGACTTACAGCATAGCCTTTCTGTTTTTGTTGTGTTTGAATTGTCTACTGATGGTATATTGTCTAATGTCTTTTTTTGTTTAAATGTAGATGTACTCATAATTTTTCCAGTTCTTTGCCTAAGCAATTGCATTTTTTTTTTATTATGCTAATATGGAGTTCTTAGCACTACGGTGTCACAGTTGTGAATTTATTTCTTAAAACCAGTTAGGTTTATAGGGGAACCTTGCTTTCTCTAATATTGGGAGATTGTCTTGGCCACATAGAAATGTACATTGCAGGGGTAAAATGAAACTTGAAACAGGAATATTGCTTTGTTAGGAAGATGTGACCACGGGATGGAAGCGCAAAAACAATAAAAAGAAATCGGCCAATGTCATATTTGTATAGGTTAGAGACTAACAAGCACAAACTGTCTGCTTCTCACGCGATTGAGCACTAGTTTGCATCATATGCAGGGTGTGCAGGAGTGAAGGAATCCCATTTCGTGAAGTTGCTCCATCATGGTCAGAACATAAAATCTGGGAGGAGGCATTCATCACAAGTATTTTTTTTTTTTTTTTGTCTTTTCATTTATTCTTTTTTCAGTTTTTGCGTTATTGACGATGGAATTCAACTGCTTGAGATTAGTATGTTGTACAATAGCTCTTTTAGAAATGTGGATATCTATCTTGACTAATTGGCTGATGAAGCCTCGTTAAAACTGTTTAACTTCTACAATTGCTCCTGGATCTGAATCAATGGTTGAGGGTTCTGATGCCATTAAACTGTGATTCATGCCCAACAGGTCATGGTGGTCTAGGAAAGTTATTTTACGTTAATAAGTTATAATTACTTTTCCTCATAAGAAAACTACTTTGTACTGGCTTGTAGATGCTAGTTGAATAGGTTGTACTGGCTTATTTACCAGTTTGGTCATGTAACACTGCCATAGTATTTCAGTTTAAAGTATCAAACCTTTATACCAAATGATGGTGGCTTAGTTGACGCATGGGAGCTTAGCAGGTGGGGGTGAGAGTATGCGTTCGATCTTTTCCAGTATTATCTTTGGGAGGAGTTTAAAGCCTTAATCTTGAACTCGCCTCAAACTCCGAATTATTCCATAGGGAACCTATGAGATTACCGGGGGGAGAAATAAAAAAAAAAAGTATCAAAACTTTTTACACTAAATGCTTCTTAATCTTAAACAATTGCTTTTAATATTTATTCTATACAAACTTGTGCAAGATTTCAGACTCTCTCTCTCTCTCTCTCTTGTTTTCATTATATTTTAACTTCCACTTGGGACCTAATGACATTGCAGATAGCTTAAGGCTTTTGCAACACGTGGATAGTATTCAGGTTCCAACAGAATGGCAATCAGCCCATTCCAAAACGTGGAAGGATTTATCATGGACAAAAAAGCAATTTCAGGTGGTAAATTTGTAATGGTGCTACAATTATATTACTTTTATTAAGATTTTCTCAATTTGAATAACTGCAGGGTGGACCTGGGATGATCACAACCGTAATCCAGGTAAATTTATTTATTACTTCAACATTTTGAATTCAACTACATATGTATCCATTTTTAGGGTTTGTGATCTTTGAATTTGATTTTAAAGTTAAATTTAACTCATGAGGAACAAAGATGTTTAAAGCTTTGATTCAATCAAGCTTAACTTGCTTTTCTTGTTATTAAATTATATTCCACAACGTCGCAATTGGAAAACTGAAATTGCCTTTTTTTTCCAGGATAAGATTATGGAGAAAGCAATTCTGGAAGGGTACCCAATAAGTAACATATGTGCAGAGTAAAGATACTGCACTGTTACTTTTATGCTGGGATGAAAGGGACAATAGTTGACCTTCTCTTTCTCTTCCTCTTCAGTTGGCCTATTCATTGACAATTCCATAGTTTCTGACCTCAATGAATAGATGATGACAATGTGATCTCTTGGAAGATGACCACTTTATTGATCTAAAGTCTGAACATCTTTATGAATAAGCCATGGACCAAATAGAGAGACAGAGAAATCAATAAACCACTTATGTGAAGATGAGAATATCCGTTTATCTCTGTTTATATGGAAAATGACTTCTTAAAGATGAAAAATGTTTTCTGAAAATTCATTTATTTTTTGTTTGGTTATTAAAAAAAAAAAAAAAAAAGAAGATGCGTCTTCTTAAAAAAAATGGGATTGAGACGATTAACAAACTATTAGTAAGTTTTATATTAAATATGCTTCTTTTTTGGATTCATATTATGTATGCTTCTTGAACCAAAATAAAAATACACTTCTAAATATGGTGTACGCTTTCTAGTTGGTATGAGCACTCGATAGTTAAACACTTATCATAAGCTCAACACTTTACGCTTGAAGAAACAAAATTAAAATTTGTGTTTCTTCAGATCCTGTTTACAAATAAATTTTGCGTTGCTCTTTTCTCACTTAAACTGAATAACTTGCAAGCAGTAAACGAATATGTGAATGGGAAACCTTTTACTAGGCTGTTTAAAATAGTGAACTGTATATCTTATAACCAGTTTTAAGAACCGAAATGGTTTTATATACAAGTTCAAAATTGAACCAAACCAAAAGAATTGGTTTCAAAAATCAATATTAAAATCAGTTCAGAACTGGTTTAAAATTGATTCGAAATCAATTCAAAACTGGTTCGATACTGATTACAAATAAAGAATTGATTTTGAAATATGAATTGGTTTCGAACAGGTTCAAATAAAATAAAATCGATTTGGTTAAATAAAATAGTTTGGTTCAAAGAAGCAAACCCGTTCGGTTAGATTCATCAAATGAAATGAGTTCAGGTCACTATGCATACCTTATCTTTTCACTATTGCTTATTAGGTATATGAAATCAGAAATTATTGTATATAAAAATTTTATGTTTATGTCTCTCTTTATAAATATTTATAAATATTAATATGGTTTTATTTATGGAAAAAAACTACTCTTATGCTACATGTGATAATTTAATCTCCTACACACCTTTCGATAACTGTGCCACATTTTTCTTTTTCTTTTTATTTTTCAGGTGATAGAGTTCACAAATTTGTCTTCATGACATGAGATAAATTATTTCCTTTAACATGAGATTAATAAAACCCTTCATTTTTTCAATGCAACATTTATTTAATGCTTGTAAGGAGAGACATGGATATAAAATTTATACTTGATCAAATTATGATCCACTCCCATATGAATTCACAAGAATTGGCATTCATATAGGTTCAAAAGATGTTACTTCCTTACAAAAATTTAACATTGCATTATGTAAGATGCATACCTCCTTTGTTGTTGACTTGATGGTAACAACACAGTAACAGCATATTACTTTTAAAAAAAAATATATCTTTTTTTTAGATTTTTTATTTTATTTTTTTTTGGAAGTTTGGTGTCAAAATAAGGTATAGAAACCCACTTAAAAAAAATGCAAGATGTAGAAATAGCATGGAATTAGTAATCCGAAAAGCGAAAACAACATCAATACTCAACCAACCAACCATTCAAGTCAACGAATGCTTGACAGCATGACAAAAACATTCTGCTATTAGCAGAGAAATTAGGTTTAAGCATTTCCGGAGAGAGAGAAAAAAATAATTAAAAAATTGAAATGTTTCGTGCGAACATGCCAACAATATTGATCTGTTGTCCTTGAGCCGAACGACAAAAATGAACCTAGGAAAACACGAGATTTTTGAAGAAAGAAAAAACAGATTTTGATTAACGTAGAAATCGGATATATAAAACAGTTATTTTTTAAAAAAAAATATTTCATTTTTCATTTTTTATTTTTTTTGATAAATCACAAGTATCATATTTTATTTGAGTCAAAAATATTCACATCATGATAAGGTTAATTCTTCTAAAGAAAATTTTTTACATTCATAAAAATTTAAATCCAAAATCTTGCTTAACCAAAATCAATCATATATCAATTTAACCAACTCTTGTTTTATCTTTTGTTTTGGATATGGTGGCATCTGGAGAAATCGTATTGGATGACTCTGCTACATAATCCAAAAGTTTAGTCTGTGTATATGTAAATGTAATAGAGACAATCAGACAAATGTAACTGCAGGATTAGACACTTCGATTATAATAACACTTATTTCTCAAATTACACGCATTTCCATTGTCTTTTGTTCTAATCTTTAGAATTGTAACTCTTTTATCAAAAAGGAATCACCTCATACACCCGATTCAGAAGAAAGGACAAAATTAAATTTTTCTTTTTTCTTAGAACGTGTTAGTTTCACAAGATCATATCAGACAACTTTAAGTGTTCATTATTTTGTCCATTACTAAATAAAACCTTTGGGGTTCTCCTACACGCAGTTATGATTTTACGGTTTGGGGGGGGGGGGGGGGGGGGGGGGGGAAAAAACCTTTAGATATATTTATAATTTTATATTAAAAATCATGTTAAAAATTCATTTCCTAACTTTTCACCCAATTTTAGAAGTATAACCAAACAAATATCTAGTGCTGAAATATTTACAGCATAAATGAAGGCTTAAGAGTCATAGACTTGCCTAGTTAGTTGAGAGACAAATCGCAGCAAGAGCAACTTTGAGTTTGCTATAAATTATGGTATTTAGAGACTATAACACACTGTAAATTCAATTGCGTTGGTAAAGCAGAATTCGATACAACCAAACCAAAACCCTTTCTCATCAATGTTGCCAAGCTTTCTATGTGAAGTTTATTTGATGAAGTATTTTCTAGGTTTTATTGTATAATAATACTTTATCAGTTTTTTACTTCTCTATTTTTATTTTTTTTTATATATTCCCACGAAATACACCCATAGGCACAAATGGCTTGTCATGAAATGATGGAAGATTCTGGTCTTAAGCTGCTATGTCCTAAGCCACCACCCTTTTAGCCTTATCTGGCACCGGCCTCTACATGATGATGATAGGCACTAAAACCTGTTTGGGGCACCATGCATGTATGTGCATAGCCTTGCTAGAAAGCAATTGAAATTTTTAGGTCACTTGGTTTGGTTGGTATCCCGAATCCTGATGCAAGCTTTTCATATTCAGGTATTTTATTCAACATATTGTGGAAGATTTATATTGGAAAAACATAAATACACTCTACTCTTTGCAAAACAAAAAAAACTTGGAAAAGAATAGAGATTATACTTGATAACAAAAAATTAAAATTTAAGGTTCAAAAGCAATTCTCTACCAAAAATCCAAACATGCACAAGCTTGAAGCCTAGGCCTAGTGTTCAGTTGGTAAAACGAGCCAACCCATCTCGACTCGACCAACTCGCATGCAACCCAAAAAAAAATGAGCCGGAATAGGGTTGGCTCGAAAAAAAAACGAGACAGAAAACTCAACTCAACCCGACCCGAGTCGAGTTAAGGTTGGCTCGCGGGTTGGCTCAAAAATATGACTCGTGGGTTGGCTTGAAAAAATAGCTCGCGGGTTGGCTCGTTTTGAGTTTATTTAAATGAACTTGTAGTATTAATAGACCAACTATTGACTTCCATTAGCTTAAACAAAGGGTTATAAAATGAGAAATAAAAGCAAAATATTCTAGTTTCGAATCTTCTTCACAACAAATTTGCACCAACATCGAAAAACAATCAGAACCATTTGCTACTAACTGGGTAAGATGTTTGAACCAAACAGAGCCAACACAGCCTAACAATATAAAAATAGCAGAGATGTGAGAAGATTAGAGACTTGGGTTTAGAGAAAGAAAAAAGATGTTGACAGCATGTGTGGGTTTTATCCATTTTTGTATATTATATTTTGTATTTTTTATAAAAAAAAAAAACTCAACCCCCGTGCTAGCCCATTTGACTTGCGGGTTGACTCTTTTTTTCCCGAACTGGCTTGGCAGCTATTTTTTCCAACCCAACCCAATTTACTTTTGGCGGGTTACGAGCTACCCAACGGATTGGCTTGTTTTTGCCAACTCTATTCAGCAGCACTGGTCACATTCTCTCTCTATATCTGAGGCCACTAACGTGGTACCCACCCCTTTTTATTAAAAAAGAAAAAAAAATCTTTTTACCCATATTTTTTTTATATTTTCCTTTAAGGCCTAACTTTTTTTTTCTTTTTAATAAAAAATAAAATAAAAAGCAACGGTGATCCCAGTGCAATGAACTTTTTCTCCTTACCAAATATCTCCACTGTCCTCCACAGCTGTGGTCCTAACCCCAAATTTTGTAGGCTACCTGTCCTCCTCCACAGTGGAAAACTGAAAAAAGAAAGCACCCATATTCAAGTAACACCGAGGACATGGCCCAAACAAGTAATAAATCAAAAATAAAAACATTATAGTAAAACCATAACAAGACCCAAATAACTAACTTGGAAGGTTTCATAGTATTTTTATGATGCAAAGCTAATTTCCCCATAAATGCACAGTACCCAAATTCCCATTTTCTGGTAGAACACCATATAAAATGTTTGATGAATAAGAAAGCCTAAAACTTTGTTTGGTCCATGTTGTGCAAGCTGTTGCATTGAGAGAGTGATGATGGTTTTACAGCTCGTGATGAGATGTAAAAAGAGAGAGTCTGTTTGTGTCAGTTTTTGTCTGGTAACCGTGGTGTTAGATTATAGGTATGCCTGAAATATCACTCTCCAACCTTGTGAAGTCTTCTTAGCCTTGTTGTCTCGGGTGGTTGTCACTTGTCACTTGGTAATTAACCTTGTCCTTTTGATGGACCTTCCTAGGCTCTCTCTCTCTCTCTCTCTACCTCCACTTAAAACCAAGTAATTAGTTACTAAAGTTTCCTCTGATTTATTCTATATACATTGACAAAACTACTAACTTTTTTTCTCTTTTCTCGTGTTCTTTATCCCTCTTGCTCACATGAGAGCAAGTAAAAGCCTTTGTAGAGAGCAAACAAATAAAAACAAAGAAAAGAACAGATAATAAGAAACAAAGCATCATGAATGGTGCTGCAATTGTTGAGGCAGATAACTCTGAGTTTGTGGAAGTGGATCCTACGGGAAGATATGGAAGAGTATATACCCTCTCTTTTACTACTCAGCTTTTGTTTTTAGTTCTTTATTTTGATTCCGGTTTTTGAATTCCATTTTTTGCAGTACAATGAAATTCTTGGCAAAGGAGCTTCCAAGACAGTGTATGCATCATATCCTTAATCTCTTGGTTTTCAGCAAACCCACCGCAGGATTTTCCAAAAAAAAAATCTCCAACTGCTTTGAAATTTCTCCTTTTTATTCTTGTTTAAGTGGAATAGTTGTGGGGTTTCACCAAAATGAGTTTTTTCTTTCTTTCTATCTTTTTAATATGAGGCCTTATTCATTTGTTGCAGCTACAAAGCATTTGATGAGTATGAAGGGATAGAAGTAGCATGGAACCAAGTAAAGCTTTATGACTTTTTGCAGAATCCTGAAGACCTTGAGAGGTTATACTGTGAAATTCATCTTCTCAAGACATTGAAACACAAGAACATCATGAAGTTCTGTACCTCCTGGGTTGATACTGCCAACAGGCACATTAACTTTGTCACTGAGATGTTTACCTCTGGGACTCTTAGACAGTAAGCCTTGTCCTTTTTCTTATTATTGGTATATCTTCCCTTCAATGCTTTATTCAGGTCATTTTAACTGCTGCTTCTTGTTTTTGGCTTTTGATATGGGTGTGTTCATATTCATTGTCTGAGCAGGTACAGGTTTAAACATAAAAGAGTTAACATCAGAGCTATTAAGCACTGGTGCAGACAGATTTTGGAAGGGCTCCATTATCTCCACAGCCATGACCCTCCTGTGATTCATAGAGATCTCAAATGTGATAACATCTTCATCAATGGCAACCAAGGGGAAATCAAAATTGGTGATCTTGGTCTTGCTGCAATTCTCCGCAAATCTAATGCTGCTCGTTGTGTTGGTGTGTAGAACAGAAAGAAAACCTTTAATTTTATTCCAAATATGAATATAAAATTGTTACTTTTTTCTTTGATAATTAGTTCTTTATGATTTACATTTCTCTGAATACAAATGCTTCAGCGTATTTTATGATGTCTGCACAATTTATCAGTTTAAGACTTTGGATTTTTTTTATTTTTTTATTTTTTATTGTACTCCAGGCACACCTGAGTTTATGGCTCCAGAAGTGTACGAAGAGGATTACAATGAATTGGTTGACATATACTCTTTTGGAATGTGCATCTTGGAGATGGTCACCTTTGAATATCCTTACAGTGAATGTAACCATCCTGCTCAAATTTACAAAAAAGTTGTCTCTGTAAGAACCAATTTTTTTTTTTTTTTGCCTTGACTCACTTTCCTATTTGGTTTTTCTTTCTGCCCCACTTATTTACATGTTTATTTTACAGGGGAAGAAGCCAGAAGCTCTTTACAAAGTAAATGATCCTGAGGTTAGGCAGTTTGTAGAGAAATGCTTAGCAACTGTGTCCCTCAGACTTTCAGCTAAGGAACTCTTGAAGGACCCTTTTCTCCAAATTGATGATTATGGATCTGACTTGAAAGCAGTTCAGTATCAAAGAGATTGCTATGAAGTAACCCCAATAATTAGACAACCTCTGAATGGAATTCATAGCATTAACAACGCCTTCATGAGTGGGTACACTGATAATCTTGGTGGTTATGGACTTATATCTGAATTGGATTATCATCAAGAAGATTTTGAAACGAGTGAGATTGATCTCTTTGATTGTGAAGAGGATGATGATTTGGCTGAAGTTGACACCACAATTAAAGGAAGGAGAAGAGAAGATGATGGCATCTTTCTAAGAATCAGACTAGCAGATAAGGAAGGTTGGCATTTCGCTTTCTTATTTTCTTCTTGAACTTTTTTGGTCTTTTATTATTCTATATTATTTTGTTGTTCTCATTACATGAGCAAAGAAAGCAAATTAACTATGCATTCCTCTAAATAGGTCGAGTTCGAAACATCTACTTCTCGTTTGACACTGAGACTGATACTGCATTGAATGTTGCAAATGAAATGGTAGTTGAGCTTGATATGACTGACCAAGATGTAACAAAATTAGCAAATATGATAGATAATGAAATTTTAACCTTGGTTCCAGAGTGGCAAATGGGACCCAGAATAGAGGAAATTTCAGAATGTTCAAGTGCAAGTTTCTGCCACAATTGTGCTGCAAACGGTTCCATATTTGATTATGTATCACCAATTAATCCATGTGCCAAGAATCTGCAATTTCTTCATTGTTCTAAAAGCGGATGTGCTGCAGTTCATGGTCGATTTGAGGAGATTACATACCAAGTTGAAGGGTCTGCAAATAGTGCTACAGAAGGTACACCAGCTGAATCAAGCAAATCCACTGGCATTCATTATACCGATATATGGGCTCAGAGAGATGAACCGGAGTTATGTCCTGAAGGGTCAAAAGACATACATTGTGACCAAGCTCATGTTGCATCTAGCCTATCAACCATCAAGGATGATGGAAGCACCAATAATGTTGATGATCAAAGTGGTCTCAATACTAGAAAGTCTCCTTCTAGGACTGTATCAGATTGTGTTCTCTTGGACTACGAGAATGAAATTAGGCAAGAACTAAGATGGCTCAAAGCAAAATACCAAATGCAGTTAAGAGAGCTTAGAGACCATCAACTAGGGGGTAAACCAAAATTTACTTGCTTATCTCCTGACTCTAAAAAATTAGATCATGGGAAAGATGGAGTTCTGAGGCTATCAGTTACACCCCATTTGAAGAAACAGCACAACAAACCACTATTGAGATATATAGCTTCTGGGAAGCATTTTCCTGTTGATGCTGAGAAATGCACCACTTTGGCTGATCAAATGATTCAAAATGTTGATGAGACGGGTCAGTCTAACAGTCCTGAGCATATGGTCACAGCCAAAGATTTCTTTACACGAGCTTTGCTTCCACAGTCGCTTCACAGGGCAACCTCGCTTCCTGTTGATGCTGTAGATGTCTAGAATCTAGAAACTATTAAAGTTCATTATTTTGTCATCATAAGTGGGCACCAATGTACCTATACTTAAAGGGGTGCCTATTTGCTTAAATTTAGGGGAAAGGAAAATCAGAGCCAAAGGTGATGGGAGTTACTAGATGTAATCTAGCTTGTGGGCACCCTTTTCTAGTAAGGTCACTTGATCTGGTACAAAAAAAAAAATGGTCAGATGTGAACCATACACAGGCTAACACAATTACATTAATGTAAGCAAAATTTTCCCTTGAGTTGCTGAATTGCATCTCCATATCCTTGAGGTACTATATACTTGGAAGATAATATGGGATGCTTTCATCTCTATAACAAGTTTTTATCCATTTCTCTTTTTTTAACATTTCCCACTAGCCTAATGAGTAATAAGCCAAGTCATTTCAGAAATGGGTGTATTATGAATTATCCACCTGAAACAAGCTGTAGGTATCATGTAACCATATACTTGTAGAATTAAGAATGTCTCACGAACCAAGGAGATATTTGTTTTTAGTTCCTTGGCAATGTAATAAAGAGAAAAATTAATTCAAAAGTTCTTGTGTGAATTCTATACTTAAAAAATAAAAATCACTCCCGATTAAACCCGACAGTTAGGACAGGGATATGGACAATCGTTAATAGAAAGAAAATTCTGAAATATATATTGCAGAAAATTATGCAATGCCACAAATTCAACCTAATAACTTTTAAACTGTTAGATAAAGAAATATCAATGATTTTATATCGTATATGATATCTCTTTAACAAGTTGTTTGACAACTAACCTTATATTCTCCATTTCAATGGATAACGCTAAAGATGACCCGTCTGAGACCATAGTAAATGGTCCATCTTTTGGAATGATGAACTGTTCTGTAAATATGAACACTTGGACATAACAGCTGCGCCATGTGGTTTTGCTGCTGTATGTCATAGAGAGTAGAGGCCAACTTGGTAGATATTTAAAAAGGATGGACAAGATATTGATTGGCTATGACAAAATACTATTACTGCCTTATAAATAGGCATACCCCTACATGGAAAATTTGTTGGCCAAACAATGAACAAACCCATTAATCTAGCAAAAGGTTTAAAGGAATTTAAAGTTTAGAATTCACTGCAAGTTGGATATGTCCCTTTCTCATTGAAGAGTCACGTGCTAAAAAAGTTTGAGAGAAAGCACTCTAAATGTTTACTTGAATATCTTGTGTCTATCTCGCTTCAGTTACATGGCACTCTAAATCATGATATGATGTCCTATACTTTCATATGATGGCGTATCTTCGCATTTCTCATCCTAGCAGTTACTCCTAGATTTTTTTTAAGAAAAAAAAATATATTTGCTATTTATTTAACTGCCGTCAATTGAGTTTTGAAAGAAAAAGACTTCTAAATGCGACTACTCATGTTTATTAATTTAATGTAGCTATCGTTGTCCTTGTTCATTATCTCTCTTCATTAATGCTTATGCTACAGGTGGGGTGTTTACACATTTTAAAACCAACAAACTTCTACATGGCATCGTGTGAAAATGGAACATGGAATAGAGAAGGCCACACAAATGAAATGAATATCATCATTAACACACGTAGACAGATTCCTTTTATTACTAGCTTTATAGTGGCACTTTACAAGTAACAGTTAAATATGAAACGAGAAAGCAAGCAAAAAAGCCCAAGTTACGTGCTCTAAACAGCAGCACATCATCTCTGCCTAAAATTAAAGTATTGTCAGTCTAAGCCATTAGAATTAGTCTAACGGTGAAAAGTGTTGATAATTGTGTTAGGTGTTATGTGTGTTTTAGTCCTTACTCATGTATTAAAAAAAAAAATTATTGCCACGCTCCCATCACTATTACCCGAACTCCTTTACTTTTTTTTTTTTTTTTTCACTTTGTGCTCCTCAAATTAAAATGCTCTAATGCTCCTTATAGATAAACTTTCCCTCAAGCCTGCGATGCAGAAGAAAGAAGTTGGAAGTCAACGAAAGTAGGGAGTATTAGCAAATACTAATTCCAGATTCATCAATCAATATGAACGGGCCATCGCTTGTACAAGAGGGTGCGCTGAATTATTGAAGTGATCGATTCTAATCCAGAGTTGTCGAAAATGTCCAATTTGGTAATACGAGACTTCATCTGCGTTGCATTGTAAAGGCAGGAACCAGTACAGACAGGCAATTGATCAACTCTAAGCATTCTTGTACTCGTTCACTTGAAGCCAAATCTCAGTCAAAAGCCAACTAAGATAGAAAATAATGACAAATCTATGCTCCTGTTAAGGTTTATATTATTTTCGGTTCACTAAAAAAAGGACATGTGCTGTAAAGCTCCCACTATGCAATGGATCTATGGAAGGGTCAGACCCATTGAGAGGGTTTGTAATGAGTACTCTTATCTTACATTTGCAAGAGGCTCATTACATAATTCAAACCTGTAACTTCCGGATGACATGACAACAACACCAACCATTGTATCAAGAACCCCTTCGTTTTCAGTTAAATATACTTGTAAATTACTTATCAAATTGCAGTCAGATTCTACATGAAATTCCACTGTATCTCCTACCAGTAATCATGACAGGAACATGAACCATCCTTGAAATGATGAAAACGCGTGGCATCTCTTACTATAATTTCTCTTCCCACAAGCTTTGAGATATATTTTATGGCGGAATGGCAGTCATTACAAACTCTAAGGTTCTTCATGATCCTTAGTGTAGAGTATCCAGGAGTATTTATTAATGCAAATGCAATAGCGAGTTTTTCGCTATGATGTCTAAGGATCTGTTCCTTCACTTCTTGCTCTAGGTCATGCAATACAGAATCAGTGTCTGGAGTAAAGCCCATTTTCTTTATCTCCTTCCATATTTTTGAAATCATACTGTAAATCGCATCTCTTTGTGGGTGAAGCGCATCTTCAACCCCAAAAATATGGACCTTGTTCTGGATTTGAACCCAACTGAACCCCTGTTCTTTCTTCACTGCTTTCTCCTTCATTGACTTCCTAATCTGAGCAGCAGCATCCCATTTGCCACAAGCTGAAAGCGTATTAGCAAGCGCTGAGTAAGCCCCACTATTATTGGGATCAATAAGAAGCAATTTTTCAGCGGCCACTTTAGCTAAATCCACATTTTTATGAACCCTGCAAGAAGACAAAAGCGACCCCCAAGCTATAACATCTGGTTCAATAGGCATACTTCTTATAAAATTATATGCTTCTTCAAGCAATCCAGCACGTCCAAACAGGTCAATCATGCATGCATAGTGGCTGGGGGTGGGTTCAATGTGATGAACATTTTTCATCAAACTAAAGTAATACTTACCCTGTTCTACCAATCCCACATGTGTGCAAGCAGACAACACACCAACATAAGTAATATGATCAGGCTTTAGGTTAAATTTCATCATCTCTTCAAACAGTTCTATGGCCTCGTTTCCGAGACCATGTTGAGCTAGAGCTATAATCATGGAAGTCCAAGTCAATGTATCCTTGTTGGAGCATATCTGTTTGAATACTTTCCTTGCATCTTTGATGCTTCCAGATCTTGAGTACATGGTAATTAAAGCATTACCCACAGAAACCGATGATACTTCTTCCAATCGTATGGCAGTTGCATGAAGCTGCTTACCATGATCCAGGGAAGCCAAGCTCGAAAAGACACTTAATACTGCTGCCAGGGTATAATTGTTTGGCTTTGGACCTTCTCTAATCATTGACCTGAAGAGCTCCAAAGCGTCACTAATTAAGCCATTTTGTGCGTAACCGACAATCATGGCAGTCCATGCAACCACATCATGACATTCTAATGAATCAAATATCTCTCTCGCTGGGTTTATATCCCCAACTTTGACATAGCCGTCCAACAATGATGTGAATGCTATGACATTAAGACTTGAAGTACCGGTTAGTTCTACAATCCTTTGCGCAATTTCATTGCCACCTGATTTTGCATACATCGAGATTAGAGCATTTCTCACTGCTCCAGATATGTCAATATCAGCTCTTACCATATGTGCATGGATTTGTTTCCCAAGTTTCAAGTTTTCAAGATTGGCACAAGCTGACAGAACACTTCCCAATGTGAACTTATCCGGCTTTAAAGATGAACTCTTAAGCATACTAGAAAATGTTTCCAGGGCTTTAATGTCATATCCGTGATGACCATATCCTGCTATGATGGAATTCCAAGAAACAATATCTGGATCAGTCATTTGCTCAAAAAGGGCTAGTGCAAGGTCAAGTCGACCAAACTGCATATGCATTGAAATCATAGTATTCCAAGTTGATTTGTCTTTCACCCTCATTCGGTGGAAAACAACCTTTGCCATCACCGAATCACCTGACTTTGCATACATGTTAAGCAGTGAATTTGCTACAGGAACAGCACTGGACAGCCCCAGTTTTACAATGAAGGAATGAACCTTCCTACCAATATCCAAGGCTTCAGTTGCGGCACATGAGGCAAGAACATTGGTAAACGTGAAATGGGTTGGCGAAATTCCAGAGGAAATCATGTTCAGAAACGTCTGAATGGCGCTATTGAAAAGACCCATGTGGTTATACCCCACTATCATCGTAGTCCAGGAGACGGAATCAGGTTGAGGAATTTCATCAAACACACGGTGTGCAGCTTCCATGTTGCCCCCTTTAGCATACGCGGAGAGAATGGTGTTCCAAGAGAACGTAGTCTTAAGGGGCATTTCACCGAACACGCGGTGAACATCAGAGAAGGAACCAGTTTTAGCATAGAAATTGAGGAGGTTGTTCATCAAGAAGACACCCAAGTGAAAGCCCTGTTTGATGATTCGAGCATGAATTGATCTTCCGATGAATGGGTCTCTGGATTTGATTGCAGACTGTAGAAGATAGACGTATAAATCCGAATGGGAGGGAGGTTTTGGGGTCTCCATCAACACAAACACAATGTGTTGAATTGGTGACAATGTTTCCCTCCCAAGCTTGCACCAACATTAAGGCTTCGTTGTTATTACTGTAACGATTTGAAAAACCGGAATTCAAATATGTTGCGACCTTCTACACTGCACCACGTCGAACAAGTAGTCGAGTACGCCCAGACCCCAGTAACCTTTTGTTTATATGGCTCCCTCTTTCTCTCATATTACGTGAATTTCTGTAATTATATTTTAAGTATATATTTTTGAAAATATATATTTATAATATTAAAATTATTTTTTAATTATGTATTTTCGAGAATATATAGTTAAAAAATTGTTGCTGATTTTCTTTTAATTTTATATTCCTGAAAGTACACAATTAATAAATAGTTACAGAAATTCTTATAACTGATAAAACTATTTGCCTATATTTATACTTATATTGTGATCTTTGGGGTGTTTGGTAGGGTTTTTGATAGAGATACCTAGGCAACTTGAAATGGATTTTGAACTTAACTGTGTTTGGTAAAAGAGTTAACAAAATTTAGGTAGGAGATTCCTTTGCCCAGCCAACACATTTTGTTTACAAAATTTCTTTGGAAGCACTGTTCCAGAAAATCATATTGAGGGGGGTATTTTGGGTTTGCTGGGAAAAAAAAAATTGAACGCAAAATTGTTGACCAAATTGTCCCTAATGTACTATTAAACGTGTCTTTCAACTCTCTTTCCTCAGAAGTCTTACGTCTCCAACATCACATGTTTTCAAGATAAAGAATGGCAGCGTGCATATCAGGATTACGAAGTGCATACATGAAGGGAAGGGTGGCTGTTGGCTATGTCAAGAATTTTCAGCCCATTGCTGCAACACAGCCTTTAGCCACTGGTCTTACATCATCTCAGCCAACACAATCTGACCGTGACAAGGTTATTCTTCGGTTTGGTTGACTATGGACTATGGATTCAACCGGATGGTGAAGCTGCATAGAGTAATTGTACATCTCATAGAGTAATTGTGAAGCACAGAACAACCTGTGCTCAATGATAAGTCCATGAAATGTGACTTAAAACATGTGATTTTTAATATGAAAATGCAAAAAAAGAATACTCTTTGTGTTAATAGATACCCCAATTATATTGAGTGGAAATGTTGTTGATTTAAATGCTAATGCGCTTCATTTTTATTTTTCAGGCCCACATATTAATATTTTTTCAAAGCAAAGAAAAAAGAAAATAAAAAGAAAAAAATAAGAAGAAAAGAAGTGGGCTGGATTTTGTAAGGCAAGGAAGAAGAGCCCAATTGAGCAACAAAAAAGAAAAGAAATTGGAAGAAAGAAAGACAAAGTAGCGTGAGGCACACTTGGAAAAGCGTTGTGTAACCATCGAACCCTAACCCTCATCTTGTGAACCAACCCATTTTCACCCAACCTCATTCCTCTCTGATCATTGAACTACAAAACCACTTCTTGAGCTGTGTTCACACAAAATGGTTCATCTAACCCAAGTCTAAACCAAACCATTTTCACAAAATACAATTTACAAAAGAAAACCCCAACTGTTTTGTGAACCTGAGGCAGTAACGCTTCGTTGGCAAGGAGTAGGCGTGGAAAGAAAAAATGCTTGCGCAAAGGATGATCAAAGCGTAAGAGTGAGGACACGTGGCTGTTGATGCAAGGGTCACGAAGCTTTCACATGCAAAAGAAGCGGATATAAAAGAAGGAAGAGCGTCACTGTAGGGAGCTTCTTCTTCCTCTTTTTCATTTCTCTTTTCCATTTTTCCTTTAGTTTTATTTTTACGTTTCTGGTATTGTAATGGAGTCTATTTTGTTTGTATTAAAGCATGTCAGTACAGTACCGAGGCTATTCCTGTGAATAGTACTCAGTGTTGTAGTTTAACTTTTCTGCACTTTATTTTCTTTGTAATTTTCATTTCGTTTGCTGTTTTTGTAGCTCAACCCTTATGGGTATGAGCTAAACTTTTGAAGGTTGGGTCTAGGTACCCGAACCTCAGTAATGGATGATTGTTAATTACTTTTGTTAAACTTTGATTCTCAGTTGTTTAATATCATGCTTTGTAATTAAATATTCTGTCATTGAGGCCTGATGGTAGATATTATGTTAGGAAGTAGTCATCGAGAGGTGACTAATTCTGAAAATGTATTAAGCACATGGACTTGATTGTGAGAGCATTCAAAGGCTGTCACTTAGAGATGAGGGCAGCCATCATGTAATTTTGGACTTGAAATGCATGAGTCCTTACTTCATCTAGCACAGAGATGTGTAAATGATTGTTTGGGATAAAATAATTTTAAGAGATTAAAATCAACAAGAAGTGTTCCGTTAACTGAGAATTAAATTTTAGTAATATGTAATTGGCATTCAAACCATTGTTGTGGGAAAGGTAACCAAAGCTCAACCTATTTTTCCAACTATTTTCACAAACTCATTTTTTTGTTCCTCTGATTTTTCATTTTTCAATCATCAATCTGTTTTTACAATTTGTTTTTGTTATCTAAAAATCTTTTTACATCATATACTTAAATTGCTTTCTACTGTTTTCTTTATCCCTTAAACCAAGAAATTAATTCTGAAAAATTCTAAAAAAATTAGATTCACGTGGTCAGTGATATTTTAAATTAGTCTTGCGATTATTTTGTTTTTATTTTTACTTTCTTTTTAGATTAGATTCAATTTTAGTAATTGAACTTTGCGTTTTTGAAATTTTCGCCAAAAAATCCTTGTGGGAACGATAATTGGGACTCACAAAAGTCCTATATTACTTGTTGTCGCGTATACTTGCATAACTGTTTGCAAGGCAACACTCATTGCCCCATTATATTTTCGCTCAATGCCCCATTGTATTTTCTGCAAACTTATTTTTTGTTGTTAAACAACTTATTTATTTTACCTTTTGACCTCTTTTCTCCTCTCAATTTAGCATTTATAAACTTTGTCAAACTTATTTGTTGCTCATATGATTCTTCTCAAAGAAGAGTAAAGACTTTTGGCTCATATAAATCAGTTTATATATGTTTTTTGAAGAATGGATATTGAAGATATGAGGATTTAACACTTTCAAATCCTTCTCCCAAAAATAAATTAAAAAAAAAGTTCTTAATCTGTCAAAAACTTCAATGGGTAGACACAGGATAATACGAAGGCTATGAATATGCGGCCTCTCCTTGCAAGATGATCAGTTTGCTTGTTAAGATTTTTATTTTCGTAAAAAAAATTGCAGTCAAGCAGATATTATTATGTAAAGTATGAAGTTATACATGGTTTGGTAATTGTTTTATTACTTTAAATAAATAAAAAATTTACAAGGGTTATTTCTGTTTTTTTCACTCATTTTTCATCAATATTTTACTTTCAATCAAACATAGACTCAGAAAATTTAACCCAATTTTTCTGGTAATATTTTTACTTACGAAACAACTTTTTTTTTTAATTTTCTTACCAAAATCATTTTCCCACCATATGCCTAGTAATTGTATTTTTCTGGTAAAATTTTTTTTCTCCCCTACCAAACGCCTCCTTGGTATTCTGTTAATGTGTGCCATACTGAGATGTTAAGAAATTTAAAAATAAAATTCATAAACTAAAATTACACAAAACTAATATTTTTATAATATAAATATATTAATATTTTCTAAAATAATTCAAATTAATAATAAATATTTTTTTTCAAATGTAGCATAAAAATACACGTTACTAAACTATTTTTTAATAGTATTATTGAATTAATATACAGTAAACTTATTATCCAATAAATTCTATTTAACTAATTAGTAATTTTTACCTTTTAACCTATTTAACAAGTACTCGTATTTAGCCTTATTTTACCAAAAAATTTCAGGTTGATCAAATTTCATATATATACGTCACTATGGGATATATTTATTCAATCTAGGGCGATTGTTACATGTGACATTTGGAAATATTTTCGATAGTAAAGATGTACCAAACACTTTAATAAGGGAGTACTTAGAGTCACCTTTTTTTTAAGTTAAAGTTAAAAAAAAATAAAAAATTATCTGGTGTTTATATAAAATTGTTCTGAGGATTTTGAAGGAAGAAATATGAACTAATTTATTATTGGGATGAATTATTATGGTAAAGGATAAAATTTATAAATATAATTTTAGAATAAGACTAAAATTGTAAAATAAATATAAAAACTCCAAAAAACTGACATACATTTGAAAAAAAATATTCCTGATAGCTTTTAACTATTAACTTTTTACTTCAATATAAAAAAATGCTTTTTTATAATAAGAGTAATAATAAAATTATATTTGGTTAGACTTATGCTTTTAAGAAGAAGAAAAGTTAAAAAAATAAATAAAACATGGCAAATAAGAACTTACTGCATCAAAAATATACTCGTGATATATTCACCATAACAAACCATTTTCGTTTGAATGGGAAAATTAAATAAATAAATAAAGTAGTAATAAATAAACTGTGATAAATGTGACCAAAATTGCGACTAAACTAATTGGATGTAATTAATTCACCGTTTTATAATTAATTCATCCAATCCTTTGTAATTAATTTAGCTGGTAATCGTTAATTGATTTCAGCGTTGCTATTATTGTTATTAATACACGAACTTTAAATTTAAATATCCATTTTACATTTTTTTTTCTTTATTTATTATGGATCATGAACTTATATTGTTCATCAAACAAGGCATACTTCGTTGAACATTTTTTTTTGCTACTCAAGGGTGTATTGATTACGTGATAAATTAGGTTGATTGATCATTTTATCTCTATTTAAGATTATCATTTTTCTCACTTTTAAAACTATATACCAATATGTCCTTCTCATATTGTATACCAATTTATTTCTATTTCACCGACATATACTCAAGTACAAGGCTCCTATACTTGAGTAAATGACCTTAATTACTTTATTAAATATGTTGTGTGTGATTACATTTTAAAACCCCAATTTACTCGAATAGGAGGTTATAACCTTCAGTCGAATCTTTCTCCCTCTCAAAATATCTTGACAATAGCTTTCAATTTGACTTTCCAAATCTTCTTATACGATATTTTGAAGACACACACAGCTAGGATCTTCTCTTAGATAAGATTGGTCAAACCAATGTGTCTTCTTTCAACTTACCTAGCAAATACAAACAAGATTAAGTATTTATATCGACATTCATCACCAAATAAAGGGCACAAACAAATAATGTAATTGTTAGCATAACATTAACTATATACCTAAGATGGTTAAACAAATGAACCCAAAATGTTTGTCTGTGATATTGGAAAAGACATTGGTTCAAACAAGTGTGATGTTCACTCCACTTATAAAGTACCCGTTTATGTTCCTTCTTTGGTAATATTGTCCTTATATACCACGGACAACCATGTAAGTGGTTTTGAAATTTTCTCACAAATCTTTGTTTATCACATTTAGCAATCATAATGTTTGATGTATCTTCATACAATATGTTTTACAATTTTGCATTGCAGAGGTTGACTCATACTCTTGTTGAACAAATAACGAATCTCTTATTTGTCAAGCACCCAACAACTCACCATCAACCTACAACATCTCTTCGATAAGTTTCTTCGCTAAGGTGCTCCCAATATATATATATATATATATATATATATATATATATATCAACCAAAATGAGATAGTATTTGGCCCTACGCATATGACCATGATGTCTCATTGGATGCAGTAATTACGTAAATATGATATGTTAAATAAACAATGAAATTCGTAAATTAACCACTAATTATTGATGAAACTTAAAGGTTCATCAAATCAGGGGTACTTATGTTTATTGGCACTTATCACCATAATAACCATCATTCATGTTAGTATTTGACAAATCACCAAGTGAAATTATACTTTCGGGTTCTCCCTCTTGATCACTATCCATATTCAATGTATTGTCATCTTGTTCCTAATATGTAATCTGACTTAAAATTGGTGGAGGTGCAGGGGACAAATTTGTCTTCATTAATATGTAAACTCTTTATTAGTTGTTTCTACACAATTGATAGTGAACCGAGAATTTTTAATGATGAGCGAGCATACAATATCAAAGTTACAAGTGTTATCAAGATTAACAGGAAAGACTAAATATTACATATTTATCAACAACAAAAAAGACTAAATATTACAAGTATTTTTGAAGGGAAGAACTAACTATTAGTACTAGTAATTTATTATTAGTATAAAAATATATCACTATACAACAACAATAATAATAATAAAATCAAAATCTATGAACGATCGATCGCTAATCCTCGGTTCTCTATTAAATCCTTCATAAAATATAATAACAATAAATATAAAAATATATATTTATATATACACTTCGAGTAATATGTATGTAATATAATAAATCAATAATAAATAAAAATAAAATCAAAATTACATATAAAATCTAATAACATAAAAAATGTAAAATTACATAAATGAATTGGTTTGATAATTTTAGCTTATGCATTTGTAAGGAGATATTAAATGCAGCACTCACATAAAAATTTTATGTGAAAGTTTTTTTTTTTCATTTGCTCGAAGTGATTTTTTATTACGAAAATAAGAGTTTTCCCCCCCTATTTTGGACCAGCTGATCCCATACATTTTAGAAGAATCGGAATAAAGTTGCCCAATATTAAAAAATATAAATTATCATGTAAGAGTTTTTATCCACCAAATACTATCATTTAGGTTCCCTTATAGGAAATTTTCTAAGGTACATCCATTCCATTATTCATCGAGTGTGATGAGACAATAAAAAGTGAAGAGAAGAGATGTAAATTGTACTAAGGAGAAAAAGAAATTTTTTTAATTCATATATTATTTTTTGAATGAAAGATGCACGTAAGACAGATGCACCAAAAATGCTCTCCCTTTATAAATAAACACTTATTAAATTGCCACACCAAATAAAAGAAACACTTATTAAATCTTAAGCTTTGATTACCACAGCCATACACCCCCATACATATTGATTTATAGTCCCAACATGCTTACATTGATATCCTCTTCATAAAAATCACTTTTAAACGAGTCTTATATTTAATGCAATCTGCGTGACCAAACCTAGAATTTCTAGAAATATAGATTACGCAAATCAGTGTAGGCGCGTGGATCATCATCGTACTGCATTTCCATTCCCTAGGTTTTTCCGATTCTCAGCCCAGTACAGCCAAACTGTATAAACAGCCACCAACTCCACCGTACGACCGCTTTGATCCTGCCACGTCAACGAAAAATCCAACATTACAGCGTGGCACCATCAGGAACGTCAACAGGTGCCAGTAAAACAGGGGATTTGGAGGGAAAATAAACTCTGCGTATCTACGTATTTTCATTTTCCATGAAGGAAAGGAAAAAAGAAAGAAACGTAAAATAATGAGAAAATAAATAAAAACAAAAAGAAAGAGAGAAAGAGCACCATGGTTTGGTAATATTGGCATTTTCAAAGCTACACTGCAAATCCCAACCGCAAAATCTCTCTCCTTCTCTTTCTCTCTCTCTCTCTCTCTCACTCGCGTCGTTCTCCGATCAGTTTCGGTTTCGCCGGCGATTTGCGTCACTGATCGGCGTCATCGAACGAGGGTTTTTATATTCGGTTAATTTTCCGGCGAGGTAAGATTCTCGACCAAAAAGAAAAATCTTGCTATTTTTACCCTTTTTTCTTCTGGTGAGGGAAAGAGTTCGTGGCATTCCGATTGATTTTGCTTCAGATCTGGGTGTGTATGCTGGGGGATTTGGGTTGACTTTGATTTAGGGTTTTCTGTGTTGGATTAGTTTTGAGATTTTGTGCTGAATTATCGGGTATGACTTTTTTCGGGATTTAGGGTTTTTTTATTGGCTCGATGGAACCGGGCTCGAGATTAGCTGGTCCTTCTGGGGTTGTGGTGAAGAATAAGAGCTCTGCTGGGTGTTTGATTGTTAGAAAGAAAGGGGATGGTGGGGTTGGTGGTTCTTCGAGCTCTCGGAAGCAGTATGAATCGAAGAAAGTGAGGAAAAAGCCTAAGGTCGTTTCCAGTGATTCGGGATCAAGCGATGAGTTACCATTACCATTGCCTCCGGCTAGGAGGCTTGGCCCCGAGACCATTCGAGTCTGTAATAGTTTGACCGCTTTCGAGCGGGGCATGGTTGGTGGCGGTGAAATCAGTAGGAAGAGGGAGAGAATGGAGCAAATTAGGCATAATGGGGATGGCGTGGTAGAGGAGAATGGCTTGAAGAGGAGGGAAAGGAAACGTAATAAGTTGGATGTGTTTGATTTCAATGAATACGATGGTAGGGATGTGGAAATGATGAGAAGGAGGAATTTCGATAATAATGGTGTTGGTTTAGGAGGAGGAAGGTTTATGGGAGCAATGCATGCTGCTGGAAGGAGCATTGATAGGGAATTTGAAACCAGTTCAAGCAGACACATCGTTGATAAGAGAAAAAACTCCTATCGTGACAGGGCAAGTGGGTTGTATCTGGAAGATAGTGTTGATCATAGTAGGTTCAAGACGAACAGAGATGGAGCTCAGCAACCTCTGCCCTTGTTGAGGGAGAAGTTTAATTCAGATGAATCCATTAGGGTTCAGGGGAAAAATGGTGTTTTGAAGGTGATGGTTAATAAGAAGAAGGTTGGTGGGCCAATAGAACGCAATGATCATCGCAAACTTGTAGAAACCAGACAAAGTTTGAGGGCTGAGAGCACTCCCAAGAGAAATGTTCTGATCCATCCTTCGCCATACTTGGAAACAAAACCTGTTGAGAAACAGGGTTTACTTGTTAGGCCAGAGAAGAAACAGATATCAACAAGAAAATCATTGTCAAGTAAGGACAGTAAGGGTGATGAGCAGGATTCAGATAACAGTGACACATCATTGAATCTGGGAGTAAAAAGTACTGAAGCTCGCATGTCTTCCAAGAAGATAACCTCTGAAGATGAACAGACTCCTATGAATGAAAAACTCCCAGCTACAAAAATAAAAGAAGGGAAAATCAAGCGTGGTAGTGGCACAGAAAAGCAGAAACTACGAGAAAGAATACGGGAGATGCTACTGAATGCAGGTTGGACCATAGACTATCGCCCTCGAAGGAATAGAGACTATCTAGATGCAGTTTACATTAATCCAGGGGGTACAGCCTATTGGTCTATCATCAAGGCATATGATGCACTTCAAAAACAATCGAATGATGATGATCATGAAGCGAAGCCCAAAGGGGAGAGTTCATCTTTTGCTCCTATCTCTGATGATGTGCTCCGTCAATTGACAAGGAAAACTCGGAAGAAGATGGAAAAAGACTTGAAGAAGAAGCAAAGATATGATAGTGAGAGTGATAGTGGAAAAGAGACGCACATTAAAAGACCTGCCAGCAAAAAAAAGCATGCCATGAATGGCATTGATAGTGATAGCAATGAAGAGAAGTTAAGCTCCTTTATAAAGCAGGGAAGTAAATCAATGAAAACTAAAATGATTGAAAATGCTGTCACTGGTGGTAGCTCTAATAGCCGGAATGCTACCCATCACTCAAATGATGGAACTGAAAAATCATTTTCTGGAAATGATCCTCATCTACATGGAAGGAAAAGTAGAAAACATGGACGGTGCACTTTATTAGTTCGTAGTTCTAACAAGGGATTAAATTCAGAATCTGATGACTTTGTTCCATATATGGGCAAACGAACAGTGCTTTCCTGGTTGGTTGATTCTGGGATAGTTCAGTTAAGCCAAAAGGTTCAGTACCGTAGAAGGAAGCGAGTAATGCTGGAGGGGTGGATCACAAGAGATGGCATTCATTGTGGCTGCTGTAGTAAAATCCTCACGGTTTCAAAGTTTGAGCTTCATGCTGGAAGCAAATTGCCCAAGCCATATCAAAACATATATTTGGATTCTGGAGTTTCGCTTCTACAGTGCCAGATAGATGCATGGGATAGACAAAAGAATTCTGAGAAGATCAGCTTCCATTCAGTAGATGTTGATGGTAATGATCCAAATGATGATACTTGTGGTATATGCGGAGATGGAGGGGATTTAATCTGTTGTGATGGTTGTCCATCAACATTTCATCAGAGTTGCTTGGATATACAGGTATGTATACATATTGTATTCTGCTAATAGCCATATGACATATTAGGGTTCTTCAAATTTTGATTGTATAAGTTATTGATCTCTTTATGGTTTTGTGTTGACTCTTCTCTTTCTTCTTTGGGGGTGGGCCTTGTTAGGATATATCTTGTGAATGATGGTTTTGATGGAAGAGGGACAGTCAGATCTCATTATCGGGAGCTTTGTTCCTCAGATGTATGGAGTAGAGGGAGAAGTCCTGTATTCTTATCATTATACTTTAACTGAGTGTCTTAATGGATATGCTAAAAATTGGTATTCTGAGAAACTTTTTTCTACTGAGTACTGACAATGTGGAACGGAATATCCATTGTCAATACAAGTGCTGTAAATGAAAGAATCACCTACCTAAAATAGTTTTTATGCCTTGAATTTTATTGTGATGAATCAACAGGAGATTTATTGCTGAAAATAATTTAATTTCTTTGATATCTGTGTCAAATGCTGAATGGTTTTGTCATAAAAATAGGGCTCAGTGTACCACAATACACAAAAACTAGAATAATTTATTAGTGACAATGATGTTATTGATACCTTATTTTGGCAACATAATTGGTTTGTTCAGGAGGATTGTTTGCATTCCGAGTAACTAATTTACTTTGTTGCAGATGCTTCCCCCTGGTGAATGGCATTGTCCAAATTGCACCTGTAAATTTTGTGGAGTAGCCAGTGAAACTATTGATAAAGAAGATGATGCAACTGTATATGCCCTACACACTTGTGACTTGTGCGAGAAAAAATGTAGTCAATTTCTCTTTGTTTGGATTTGAAGTTCTTTCAATATGCTCTGTGCTTTTGGCCCTTGCTTCCAGTTTTTTAATCTATAACTTTCTGTTTTCATAGATCATGACTGTTGTACTAAGGATTTGGGTGCCCTTCCTACTAACTCCAATATGTCAGGGTCTTCCTTTTGTGGAAAAGGCTGCAAAGAGGTACCCGTTACATTTTCTTGTGCACTAGTTTATAGACTTTTAATTTATAAGAGTTGCAGAATTCTTCTTTCTAAGAATTTATGTATTTTAAGATTTGTTAAACTGAAAATTAATAGCAGAAGAAGCAGCAAAACCAAAGCAAACTCTTATAGCACTGACGCTTGATTCTGTGTTTCATCTTTTATGCTTTTACAGCTTTTTGAGCACTTGAAGAAGTACCTTGGTGCCAAGCATGAACTTGATGCAGGCTTTACATGGTCTCTTATTCATAGAACAGATGACGACGCAGAGGCAGCTAGTAGGGGAATTACCCAGAGAGTGGAATGCAACTCCAAGCTAACTGTTGCACTGACTGTGATGGATGAATGCTTTTTACCAGTTGTTGATCGGAGGAGTGGGATCAATTTAATCCATAATGTTTTATATAATAGTGGGTAAGAACTAAGAACTAGTAAGCACAGTATGGATGAACCATACATGAGACACCTCATTTTTAGTGTTATCTGACTGACACTGTTTGCTGATCTAAATAGGCAGAAAGAGGAGTGATGAATTTATAAAAATGATTTTACCAAGTGCATTTATTGTTGCTCAAAAATTCAATTTTGCTTATAGAATGATCTACCATGAACTTCAGCATTTGCTTGATGTTTCATCAATTTCAAAATTCAAATTATTAACTTTTGCCTCAAAACAAACAGTACGTAATGCCTTATATTCTGTCTGCTATAGAATACAGTTTTTTTTTTTAATATAGAAAAAAAAATTGTTGTAATGAAAGAAGTGAAAGTACAACTACTGGGAGGATAAGATATTTTCCGTAACAGAAAAATGAAAAGAACAAGAAGTTTATGTAGAAAGTCAAGGATACAGTTAGGCTATCCGATCTCTGCAAATCAGAAATTCAAACCCCTCTGGAACATCCTTGAGCCAAGAACTATAACAAACCATACACCATACTATCCCAACCCAAATCAAATCTAGGGTGAGTTAGACTCTCTTAAAGATGAGGGCAATGGGATGTAGTTTTAGCTGAAGAAAGAAAGCTTTTGATGGGGTGTGTAGTCCATCCCACAGCCACTTAGTTATGTCTTATGCTGAAACCTAGATAGCACATGTCATGCCATTGTGTTGACAAAAATAAGTTCAGTTTGCCCTCAAGACAGTGATGTGCTGGCACATTTTTAGAGATAGCATTGTCCTCGTCTTTACATTTCCACACTGGAATATTAGATTTCTTTTTTTATTTGTATTTATTTTTTCATAGTTATTCTTTATATTTTTAGTTTTTATTCATCTTGCTTTTCTTATTTAATTGACTATGTTAATTTTCCTTGTTTGTCTTGTTCTATTAAAAACATTACATGGTTTGATTTCATTATTTTGAATGCATAAATATTTTCTTGATATTATTGTTTGTTTTAAGATGCATAATTTTTAACCCCAAGAGATTTTTTTTTGTTGCTTTCTCTCTTTTGTAGGTCAAACTTCAGTCGGTTGAATTATAGTGGCTTTTATACTGCTATTTTGGAGCGAGGGGATGAAATAATTTGTGCAGCATCTCTCAGGTACTCTGCATCAGACTTTGTCATTTTATTTTTTATTTTTATTTTTTTGCCAAATTTTATGGAGGGCCTTACTTAACTTTTCCAAGAATATTTTTCTCCTTATATATGAATATTAAGGGGAAAATGTAAAAACTATTTTTTGTTTTTTACTGTGAAAATTGAGAATAAACTTAACTTGTAGGCTATTTACTATCCTGTCTTAGGTTCCATGGGACTAAGTTAGCAGAGATGCCATTCATTGGAACTCGTCATATATATAGGCATCAGGGGATGTGCCGCCGTCTTTTTTCTGCCATTGAATTGGTAAATCTTGAGAGCTACTGTTCTTTGTGATTTTCTTTTCATCTGATATCTATATAATTTTTTTGTAGCATGCCCTTTTGCATGCATTTTTTCATGATACTGACTTGTTCTTATCCTTTTCTGTACTTCTATATTTGAAGGCTCTTTGCTCACTGAAGGTTGAGAAACTTGTCATTCCCGCAATTTCTGAACTGATTCATACTTGGACAACAGTTTTTGGCTTCACACATCTTGAGGAAATTCTCAGGCAAGAAATGAGGTCGTTGAATATGTTGGTCTTCCCTGGTATTGATATGTTACAGAAGCTGCTAGTGGAGCAAGGAAAACTTGAGGGTAATACAACTGATACAGGTGTTGATATTTTTCCTTTATTAAATTTCAGCAACTCATTTTGACTGTACATATATATCACTTTTCTATTCCAGCAGGTGCTGAGAAAATTGAAAATGGAGATGAGGTTTTAATTAAGCCCAATATGGCTAATAGGTTAGATATGGATTCCTCAGCTCTGCAAGATCCTCGAGGAAGTGATGATGCTAGTTCAAATCCTGCCAATGAGATAAATAATGAATGTAGTGAGGATGCTTCTCAAGAACTAAACAATCAAGTTTTGGTTGGCATGACTGTATGCTCCAAATCTCATTCTGAGGAAAGATTATCTGATTCTCTTTCTGATAATTGTGTTTCTCCTTCTAGTACTAGTCATGGAGTACTAGAAAAGCAAAATGAAATAGTGACAGCTTCCCCCGTTAATGATAAATTGCATCCTTCTACCAAATGTCAACTCATTTCTCCAAATGACATTTCTATGACTAGTCCTCCATTAGATGCTCCAGATTGCCATGGAATTCCAGCTTTGGGTCAGGAAACTGCTTGTTCTGACCCTGATTCTGCAAATAACCCGGTAGAACCTATTTTTGACAGGAAATGTGATAAGTTCACTGATATGAATTGTGATTCATCAGAGCTTGACATTAATCCTGTGTTGGATTCTCAAGTGGCGGATAATGCCTTGTCTTCTAAAGAGGTTGATATGAATGATGCCCATGATGAGTTTCTTGAAGCTGACCCTTCAGTGGATTTATCTCGAGAGAATATAACCAAGGAGAATAATACAAATGTAGATGTCTCGGGTTGTGTTCCTAATCATACTGGTGAGAGTTTCTTGCAAGTAAGATCTGATTTGAATGGTGAAATTGCATATCTGGGAGAAAAGAATTTACATTTGGAAACAGAAGTTGCTTCAAATGATATGCATTTTGATGAAACTGGGCTAAACGCTTCTGGTGATTGTTCTGATACTGATCTAGTCATCTAGTATAAGAGAATGGCCGAGTCTAATACTGCTTATGTTTTTAGTTCTACAGCTCATGCGATTCCCTCACAAGTTTTCTTTCAAAGATTCAATGCCTTGTATGCAATCAATTTTCAAGGCTTTGGAGCTTATGTGTCATGCTTTAATCTGGATAGTATGAAAAGTTTATATTGATTTCAATGGAAATTGTAATCGGTCCCTTGCGTTGTCGATGAGTATGAATTTCTTAAGGTTCTAAGTTAACTTCATTTCATGTAAATGTTTCTTCTGCCATAATTCTTGAAGGTTGCTTTTGGCTTAAGATCTGTATTAATACGTGCTCAAATGGGTGAAGTTGCTTGCCTGTAATGTGCACCAATCCTTCCAAGTTCATACCCAAGTAGATCCTGTGAGTGTATTATATGATTAAGATTCTCGTCGTTTGTATCTGAATCTGGTGGAGTGTGGATTTGGCTTCCTTCTCAAGCCTTGTGTGCCATTCAGTATTACAGTTATTCATCAAATGACATCAGCAGTTGAAGATACTTAGAACAGTTTTTGTTTTGATTGACAGCATATTTTTATTGACTTGTCCACATGTCTGCCCAACCTCCTCAATTCAGAACTCATAGGCTCGTCTTCAGTTAAAGTCGAAGGCATTTGAATAGGATTTTCGTATAGATCAGGAACCATGATTATGGGTAAACTGTGCAGTAAATAACGATCCTGCTTCTAGGATGTAAAAGACCTTTCTTTGTAAAGGGTTTGTTGTCTGAGTTGGTGAGGTTTAGATTTTGTTTCTTTTTCTTTCTTTTTCTTTCTGTAATTAAGGTTTTAGGTAATGTTTGGTGTCAAAACGGCAATTGATGCCGTCTCGAATAATAACCTTGTACTTTTGTCGTCGCATGGAATTATGGCTCCCATACTCATTTCATGAGAGGTTTTGGGTACCATTTGCGTCGGTGTTAAGAGTTCTCTTTAAAGACACAAGTCGCTTATTAGATGTTTACTTTAAAGCCTGGGGCAACTAATGCAACATGTTTATGTCCTGACTAATTTAGACTGTGTTAGGGTTAGTTTATTTTTTTTCATTACCTGAATGGGAAATCTTGTTTCAATAATGTTTTTTTTAAATAAATAAATAAATAATGAAAACCAAACAGGCGCCTTTTCTTTCTCACCGTGTTCTACATCCTAAACTTCTTTAAAATGAAAATAAATTTATTTTAAAAGGAGTCCGAGTCTCATCCTTAATATTGAAGTAGTAAATATCGGATACCAAAAAAAAAAAAGAGTAAATATCTCGCATATAAATATTATAAAATTAAAAAAATAAGTTTAATTGATACTGATAATAAATAAATTTCATTAATATAAAAAATATTCAAGCATTTGAAAAATTCCAAAAATTAGTTTAATTGAAGAAAAATGCTTGACTGATAATTTATAAATATTTCATTATGTTCAATGTTTGATTAAAAACATTTGAGCAGTGATTAAAGGATTTAAGGAAAGTTTTACAATAAAAAAAAAATGGAATTAAGGAAAGTAAAAACTTTGAATATGTTGTCACAAAAAGAAGAAAACATGTGATTATGTGAGACCGAAATTACGTCTATAAATTATCCCTCTGGAAGACTTAAATTTATTATATAAAAATAAAGGGAAAAAGTATCTAATGTTACTTTAGACAACTTTATTTAATGTTCATCGAAACGACGTCGTTTTGGGGTTGAAAAATTAAAAAATTAGAATGATAAAGATTATTATAACCCTGAAATAAATTAAAATTACAAAAACACCATAATTTTCGTCCCAAAACGACGTCGTTTTAATGAACATTAAATAAAATTATCTAAAATAACTTTAGAAAAAACAAACCCAAAAATAAATTGTTGAAATGAAAAAGACCTTCCATTAGCTTCTTTTGCTCTTGGAATTATTAAGGATTTTGCCCAATGAATTATTAAACATTTTTCAATAACTATCCACACTTTCTCCTCAAACTCAAAATAAAACTTGTATCAAACACACCGTAACGGAAAGAGCTTCCGTCCACTTAACAATTGTGATTTTTTCAACTCATATTAAATATATTACATAATTAACAATGGGAAAAATGACTTAAGTTGTAAGAGAAATAATCTGATCATCATGTGTGAAGATAAGACAAAACAAAATTATCGAAGAAAGTGTCTCATTTCATTTTTTTTATTATTATTTGTTGTCCTTTAGTGTTGGAATTTCTTTCCTTTAACATGATAAAATAAAGACCCATTAACAATTGTGCATTTTGAAGCTTCCGAATGAAAATTTCTATTTTCGATTGATAAGTAGATTTGTGAAAAGTGTTAATATAATTCTCGCATTTGATTCATAAGCTGTAGTTTTACTATCTGAATGGAGCTGTCTGCACCTCCTTGTCTTCCAAAATGTCCTTCATCTCTGCTTCTGAAATCTAGGGTTAGGGTTTTTCAGCGAACACCGAACCCAACATGCTCACCTTTCCAAGCTTCAATCTTTTCAGTCAATCACCGCACTCTCACCTCAAATGATCCTCCAAGAAACATCTCCTCCGCTGCTTTGGCGGGAAACAACACTTCAGCTACAACAGCTTTGCCAGTTGACTCAGGTCAAGACAAACATCAAGCTCTCTTCTTTGTTCCTTTTTCCCTTCACGAGATGGTGATTTCAAATTGTCATTCTCTTGAGATTTTGGATTTTCCAATGAATTTCAATGTTTGCTTGATCATTTTCAGATGTTAGAATTGGGGAGGTGAAAAGGGTCACCAAGGAGACCAACGTTTCAGTCAAAATAAACTTGGATGGTTCTGGGGTTGCTGATAGTAGTACTGGAATTCCCTTCCTCGATCATATGCTTGATGTCAGTAATTTCAACTCAACTGTAGTACCTTCTTGTTCATGATGATTTATATTTTGATTTTCTCGTGGGGGCCAAAATTAAATAATTAAAAATTAACTAATTAAATCTACTATTAACTTAATTTTACCTCCTTTAGTTGAATGTATAGTTTTATTGAAAGTTGATTCGGTGAAACTTTCAGGTTGTATTTTTCAATAAATATCTTAGCAGTTATATGTGAAAGTTTTAGAATTTTAATGACACTTAACTTTACTACAAGTTGAGATATTGTAAAAAAAAAAAACTTATGTTGAGGAGTTGTGCAAAACAATTTTTACCTTTATTTAGGTTGCACACATTATAAAAAAGTTAGTTTTGCACACCTTATATTTGATTCATGAAGTTCTATGTACTCATATAACTTGAAGAGACAAAATGGGTTTAAGACTTGTTTATACCTTTCAAACTCTAAATTTATATATCTATTTCTCAAATAACTTTAATAGACACTAATTATTTTCTTTTTTATATTGTTAGAATATCTAAATAATATCTCATAATATCATGATTATATCTTGGAATAGTTTAAAGTATTTTAGATGATCTCTTAGGAATGTTTTGTATATTTTCTTATTTAATTAGAATGAAGAGTCGAGTAATAGTATAAATAGATGTTAGTGCTTGTCTTTTGTAATGCATCCTTCGCACAAATTTAATTTAATTTTTTTAGTCTAAGTATCTCTATCCTTTTTATTCCTCTTTTGCATAGTTCATGGTATGTGATTCATGGTATGTGGTTCACATACCATGAACTATGCAAAAGTTCATGGTATGTGATTCACGGTATGTGATTCATGGTATCCGCCTTCAGCATATTTCATCCCTTTTTTGGTTTTAAGTTAATGGAAATCGATTACATATTTCGTTTTTTGTTTGCTCCCATCTCTCTTTTGCAACTTGCCATTTTGAGTTTTTAAGTTCCGAGCTCTTATTCTGTTGCACGTCCTTGCTGTTGTTCCAACTTCTTTACGTAAATAGGCTCTGTTTCAGCCTATCTTTCCACATGTAGACTCTGTTTTAGCATGTCTTTCCACATATTGGCTCCATTTTAGCCTGTCTTTACTCATATTGGCTCCTTTATTGCCTATCTTTTAGCATAGTGACTTCGTTGTAGCCTGTTTTTCTGCAGATTGGCTCCATTTTAACCTATCTTTTTTCAGATTGTCTCTGTTCTAGTCTTTCTTTTTGCAAATTAGCAGAGTTTTAGCTTGTCTTTCTGTAGACTGGCTCCATTTCATCCTTTCTTGCCGCAGAGTGGCTCCATTCCAGCCTGTCTTTCCCTAGATTAACTCCGTTCCAGATGCAGTCTAGCCTCATCTCCAGTCCTAGATGCAGTCTGGCCTTGTCTCCAATCTCAGATGCATTTTGGCTCTGTCCCCAATCTCTAATGCAGTCTAGCCCCGTTTACTGCCACTCGGTTATATGTATAGTTTATTTTTTATCATTTACATCTTAGATGATCTCTTCGGAATAGTCTCCATATTTCTTTATATTTCATGATTTGTTTTCTTATTTAATTAGGATCAGGATTCTAGTATTAGTATAAATAAGGGTTAGTGCTTATCTTTTGTAATGCATCCTTCACACCAATATAAATATAATTTTATTAGTCTGCGTATCTCTTTTATTTCTGTTTCTCCTTCCCTACCTACAAGGCTACATCCCTATAATTTCAACGTATGTAAAAAATTTGTCAACCTAACATAATTTTTGTTTACATGAAAATAAAGGGCCCAAAAAATAAATTTGAAAAAGCTAAAAATAATTACAAAAAGAAAATACTATACAGTCTGCTGTACACTTTATATTAGCTCAGTAAAATACATTAGAATGCGTACTTTTCCATTGGACTTCTTGCTATAATAGAATAATAAACATAGGAATCCTGGAATAAGAGATGAAAGGCTGGGTGGATGTGGTATCAATAACGGACTTGTTTAGAAAAGAATGCATCTCCTTGGAATGATCTGAATTGTTAGAATCTGATCATAAATGATGAGATTTTTGTTTTCTGCTTATAACTTGAAAACTAAACAATAAGGCTGTTAAGGATTTAAAATTGTTCAATGGATTATCAGCTATGGAAACTAAATTTGGTTGTGATTTTTCAGCAACTTGCTTCACATGGGCTATTCGATGTACATGTAAAGGCTATAGGTGATATACATATTGATGATCATCACACAAATGAAGATGTTGCACTTACTATTGGAACGGTACTACGATCGGCTATTGGAGCTGTTTCTTTCCTTCTTTTTTTGGTCTTCTATATTTAAGTTGTTCCTTGAAACGGAAACATGCTTCATTATTTTACATTGAAGATATTATTTAAAGATTGTTGTGCAATTTATATCTTTACATTTCACTTTATCCTTTCTATGCACAATGGCATCTAACTAATTGTTGATAGCTCCAGTTGTAATGCTGATTAATGTTGATTCTAATCTTACAACAGTAGGGATTTGTAATTCCGCTATATATATATATATATATATATATATATATATATATATATATATATATATATTTTAAATGAATTTTCATTTATCTATCTTCTTATTAAAACTAAGAGGTTTCTATTACTTCATCTTCAGGCTTTGCTGCAGGCTCTTGGTGATAGGAAGGGTATTAACCGGTTTGGTGACTTCTCTGCTCCACTTGATGAAGCATTAATACACGTTTCATTGGTAATTTTCATACTTTTCATACTTTAAGTTAATGCGTTTATTGGGGGGGGGAAGTGTGATTTGTCCTTGCTTAAAAATATGGTAAATATAGAAAGAAACTTTGACACAATGTTAGTATGACATTTACAATTTTAACAATCATACATTATCATGTTGATTAATGTGAAACAAGAAATTCTGGCTATTCTTAAAGTTCGGTTATTGTCCGATAAAGGGGCACCATGAGCTTGTGTTGAGGCCTATTTATCAATTGTAGCAGTACTTGTATACAAGGCTTCTGAATTGAAACTAGGAAGTTCTAGTGTCCATTTTGATCACGTTTGTAAGCTTATTTTTCCTCTTTAAAATTGTGTTATATGCTTCACTATAGCTTTCCTCCTTTACCTTGTCCAGGATTTATCTGGGCGACCACATCTAAATTATAATTTGGACATACCCACTCAGAGGGTTGGGACATATGACACTCAGGTAGTGCATGTCTGTTTAATTACTTCATCATTGAGTTTAGAATTTTGTCCATATGACTTTTGACTATTAAGCTTCAAATGCTTCCAGCCCGGATATTTCTTAATGTGGACCATTTATCATGATACTTGTTCCTTTCGCCTTTCCCTTTATTCTTATTATTATTTACTAATGAATCCTCTGGATATTGTCGTTTGCAGTTGGTGGAGCATTTTTTCCAGTCATTAGTGAACACATCTGGTATGACACTTCACATTCGGCAGGTATAATTGCATAAAATATTTTTCATAATCAGTTATAGCATTGCATTTGTAAGTATGTTTGTGCATATCATTATGAAAGAAACATAGTCAATGTCATAGATGTTTTACCAGGCTTCCTTGAAGTATTCCATAACCACATAGGTTAGAAAATTGAGATGCTCTTTCTATATTCTTCATGCATTGAGTAGTGAGTACACATTCCAACTTCAATTTTCTTGGTTTTATCCTTTTTCTAGTTCATGTTTTTTATTCCAATTTTGAAAACCTTTTAACTGAATATATATGTATTTTTTTGGGCACAGCTTGCTGGAGAAAATTCCCATCATATAATTGAGGCAACATTCAAAGCATTTGCAAGGGCTCTTCGACAAGCAACAGAGTATGATCCACGTCGCCGTGGAACTGTACCAAGGTCTGGTATCTTTGAAACTGCCTTTTGATTTTGTACAAAGATGATGAGAATTATATTTTTCCACTATATTTGTGCTGCAAGTATTACTTGGAAACCATTTACATTTTTTTCTCCTTGAACCTTGATAACAAGATGACCTCTCTACTCTAAGATCAAATGTTCGGTTCCTTGTATCTTCAGATGATAGAATAATCAATTTTACTTGTTAAAAAAATAAATATATTTTTTCATATCACTGTTACCATTCCTTTATGAGATGCATATTGCAGCTGTGTTTGTGTGTATGCTGGGGGGAGTGGGGGTGCTGAGATTGTTATGTTCGACAGGTGGAATACCCTCATGAAAATATATATTTAAAAATATCTGTTAGCATCACTACTACTAGCAGATAATTGTAAGGTGGCATAATCAGGGTTTTGTTTGCTTACATGCTTTTGCATTAACATTTGGAATTTTTCTACGGAAACTATCATGTGATGTAAATCTAATATTATCCACACTATCGTATGTGCAGTTCAAAAGGGGTTCTGTCACGTAGTTAATATCTTCAGCCGGTGTGCATAATTCGATTGAGCGACGAATAGAAGTGGACCTCCATAGTTTTCCAAGTGTATGCATCCATAATGATTATTACTTCGGGCTCCACAATGCTAGTCCTTAGATGCCGTGTGATGATAAATGCCGGTGCTGTGGGCCTGTTACTGTATAGTAGTTACTGGCTTCTGTAACCAATATTGTTGTAGGTACATTTATTCTGGAAGTAAAAATTATTTTAGTGCTTTTTTTTTTTTTTACGTTCTTTTTTCTTTTAAAAAATAAGTGGAATATACTTTGTTTTTTGTTTGGATGGTTCAGATTCTTATGTCTCAGAATGACCCAGCGTAGGATTGAGTGTCATTTATGAATAGAATGGGAAACAATTGTAACTAATGAAAATGAAAGGAAATAAAACAAAGGACTGAAAAGTATTATGATCTTTTCTTAGGATAGAACTTAAGATAAAGAAATGGGAGTCCCTAAAGCATCAAGAGATTCTATTTCCCACGGTCCTCTTTTTTTCTTTTTCTTTTTGGGAAACAAAAACAAGGAGGTGGGGTTGGAATCATGAATCAAGACTAGGGAAGTAAAAATTCACATGAAAAAAAATATTCAATTTTTTTTGGAACTAAAGTTAATTTTAATGAAGAATAAAATGACTTAATCACATACCACCTGGTATCCAGGGAGTTTGAAATGGTTTTGTTTATACAACACCTATTGGAAGATGTTCTACAAAAATTCTTCAGCAGTATTTAGATAATCCAATATTTCAGACTTGACTTCCTCCGCCAGTGGGGCTGATGGCCCTGCCTTTGAATAAAAGTTTGCCAAACATCTGATTGCTTTCTCCAAAACAACATATGATTCCTGCAGGGAATCAATCCAAAGCATGATCATATATATTTGTAAAAAAGGTGATCTGCAACAAAATACCCCACCCACATATATATACTAGCCAAAGCATTGAATTTTCATTGCTTTTAAAAGTCTTAAAAAGAGTCCAGTTAAAAGTACGTACTTCTTGAACAACAGTTTGCTGTCCCCTCCAACTGCCCAAATACTCTCGAATTGACTCCTTTGCTGCGTCTGCAGTACGTCTAAATTTGGTAATATCAGCAGGGGCTTCGTTTAAAGATTCACGCAATGTTTTCACTAACTCTCTTGCTGACTTCAAGTAAGCCTTTGGCAACAACTTTCCAGACTTTGTTTTCTCGTTAGGATCAAGTAATGATTTTATGGTCCCAATAACCCCTGTATCATCTTCCTCTTTATCAGTTGACTTCTCTTCAGCCCATACCATTAATGGTGATAAACCACAACAGCATGTCATTGTAACCAATGAAGAGCCAACATTGACTAAAAGATGCCTGCGACTACTTGATGAAGCTTCCACAGGAGGCAGTGCAATATTAGACCTGGATTGCAGTTTATCTGTTATAGTTTGCAGAAGCAGTCAATAAATGAAGGTCCTACTATTGTGCAATTATGTTGTCCACTCTTTAAGTTATTATATTGTTACTCGTTCTACTTTCTTTCTTTATTTTAATTTTCTGAGACAATGTTATTCCTTCTTCGCCAGATTAAGTCATAATCTCAAAAAATACTCAATCAGAAAATAACAATTCAAATGAATTATGTAATCCCTTTAGTATAACAAAATGGTGTTACAAGAACCTTAAGGAAGAAGAATAATTCAAGATGAATTAGTTGATACGGAAACAGCAAATATACTATGCAACACCGAAGGTGCACACTAATTTTTCATACAAGGAATGAAGAATCGAGAAAAGAAAGAGAGGAAGGAAAAAGTTGCAAATTTTTAGGACATACCTTCAATATCAAATCTTTTGATCCCTTTATTCGTTTTGGAACTTGTAATGTAACACATATTTGCTCCAAGGATAATTGCCATCCTCCTTAATAAATTTCCACTATGCTGAGTTACATTTACTGAGTACACGAAGCAACAATAGTCTCTTCGATCATGCTGGTGAAGCATAGCATTTCAACTTTACGAGTCATGAAATTATTCATAATTTTTCTCTCATTAATCATAAAACTATATGCAATGCGATACCCTTGTTTTCTTCATTGAATCATGGATAGTTGAACACTTAACACTGATAACATATACATATATCAGGGGGCTAAATCAAAATGAAGAGGATGAACATTTTAAAAGATGAAAAGTGGCATGCAGACTGTAACTATGTGCAGTCTCTTTAATGCTGCAAGACTTATTCATTTGAGAGCTCACTTCCTAGGGTCGTTCGACAATAACAAATTTGAGAACATACCCAAAATCAATATAATAAAAATTTCCACTCACCACGCTGGAATTCGCAAGTTTGAGAAATAACTGAACCTGAATTCTCCCGGATTTAAATTTTTTTTTTTAAAAAAAAAAAAACTTATAAATGTTCTGCAATCCAATGACTCATGAACCACACGCAATTCTTGTGCTGAAATGATTTTAGAAACAAAAACTAGCAAGCAACATCTGACAAGTGTTCCATTGGCGAGTGTAGCAATAAAAAGGTTGAAAAATTCAGCATCATGAATCAAAATTAAAATTCCAAACTTTTCAGGCGCGTTGTAGAACTTAATGACTAAAATTTTTAAAAGAATTATTGAACATCGCATATAGTTAATGAAAGCATTTGGAAGAAACGAGGATGTTTTTTTTTTTTACTTACCGGTGTAACTCACAGGCTCCCAAGAATATCTGCCTCAACACCCTTCGTTCAAAATGCACAGAGGGGGCTTATCCAAAGGGCAAGGCTAAAACGGTCATTACAACAAGATATGCGTATACTTTCCATTTTTACAAAATGTACCCAAATCTTTACTTAATCACACTTTAATCCCTGCGTCCCGGTGAATGATGTTTTTAGGGTTTTTGTTCTTTTAAGAGTGTCGTCTTCAGTTCACTGCTTCGGTTCCTCTTTTTCTTTGCTCTCTTGCTTTTTGACTTCAGAGAGAGAGAGACTCTACTATGGTGAGTCATTTCAACATGCATGATTCGCGTGTTGTCTCGCTTTTAGATATTTTTTGGGCATCTTTCATTGTAAATATTGGATTTTTCTCTTAGGGGTGTTGATGGGTTGTTGTTAATGCAGTCTCTGGTAGCGAACGAGGAATTCCAGCACATTCTTCGTGTTCTGAACACGAATGTCGATGGAAAGCAGAATATCATGTTTGCCCTTACCTCCATCAAAGGTATTGGTCGCCGTTTCGCCAACATAGTTTGCAAAAAAGCCGATGTCGACATGAACAAAAGGTTTTATTTTTCTACCTTTTTTTTGTTTTTTGTTTTTTTTGTATTTTTGGCAATCTCATCCGGATTTTCAAATTTGGTTAACATTGAATAAATAAAAATTGATGGGTACCCCTTAATGTGCTTTGTTTGTTAGTTTTTACATGTTTGAGTTGTGGGTTCATATTATCTCTATACCCATTTCCCATTTATCACAAAACTGCCAGTGCCAATAGCTGCAAGGATTTTATTTTTTGGAAAATTGTGTGAAAATCAGAACTGCGGCATAAGTTGCTTTGTAATGGTTTTGACTTTTGAGTAATATGCATGTTTATCTGCACTTAATTCAAGCACTATATATAATTTTGACATTAAATTAGTTCATAGCAAAAAAGGATTCAGCCCTTTTTTAATTTTGAAATTTGTTGCTTATTAATATTATGTGTAAGTGTTGCATCAATTTCTATTTTTTTTTTTTTTAATATAGAGATCGTAGTTTGCTGTGTTTAGCATTTGGAAACTGTTGCTTTCATCTTAACTAAATTCGGTTTCAAATGGTCTGCTGCAGAGCCGGTGAACTAACAGCTGCTGAACTTGATCAGCTGATGGTGGTTGTGGCAAATCCACGCCAATTCAAGATTCCTGACTGGTTCCTCAACAGGAAGAAGGATTACAAGGATGGCAAATACTCGCAGGTTGTGTCCAATGCATTGGACATGAAACTCAGGGATGATCTGGAGCGTTTGAAGAAGATAAGGTTGGTCATTGTTTTTCTGTTATTCAACTTTTTACCTATATTGTGTTTTCCGTGTTTACTCCCCTTTTACATGGCATCTGTGCAGAATAACAGAAGTGTCAAATATGTGTATTTTGTGGTGTGTATAACTTTTTTTCATGTAAGGGTTATCAATCCAAGTAGTTGTGTGAGATTATGAATATGTAATTGTACTTTTAAATTTGATCCCTTTTCTCTACCAGGAGTCAAAAACCGGAGGAACAGGATGGTTTCATCCATTTGTCTCTTAATTTTCCCTTCTAAAGTGCCCATGTCTCGCTCTGAATTTTGGTCTCCCTTGTTTTTCTAATGTTTAGTTATGAGTCATGGCATCATGCATAGAAGATGACCTTAACGGACTGATTAATTTCTTGTCATAAGATGTAATATGATTCGTTGATATGCAGAAACCACCGAGGTCTGCGTCACTACTGGGGTCTTCGAGTTCGTGGACAGCATACCAAGACCACAGGACGCAGGGGCAAGACTGTTGGTGTCTCTAAGAAGCGTTAGGTTTGGTGTCCTTCAAGTTTTCATTCTTCAGCCTGAAGTTTTGCGGTCTTGGTTCTCCTTTGTGATTTTCTTGGTTAGAGATTCACAATGTCTAGATGTCTTTTATGCCTTTTTTACTTTGTCTCTCTTGTTTGGGAAAATTTTACATTTTACTCTGCTTCATTTTGCTACTATGAAATCATTCTCTTATATTTTAAAAGTTCATTATTTATTTCCATGGTATTGCAATTATTCAGTCTCTTTAATGTCTTCATGATGTTACAAAATGTTTATGCATTAAGACAGGACACTGTAAAACCAATAATAGTGAAAAGCTGATTGTTGTTGATGTTATGTCGATAGTAGCAAGATGAAAGTAACAGTATCATATTCCGTGCAATGTTCTGATGCTTGCCCTCCTTTTTGCTGCAATAATGCTCAACAAAAATGTGATATCTTGCTTGGAAGTTTTCCTATGATTAATGGGCAGAAAATGAGAGAATTGTAGATAGAAAATCCGCAGGTGAGGATATTCAAAATGATCTGCCCATAGAGTTTTTTTAAAAAAATGTAAAAAAAAAAGAAAGGAGCTGATTATTCTTATAATTTTTAATAATATCTAAGTTTAAAATATTCATACATTACACGGGTTAGAGAGTTGTTATTGAAGTTAATTTCAAAGTATTAACCTATTGACTAGCATCTTTGTTTTACCTTATTTTGAAAAGAATAATTTTTTTTTTTCAAAAGCTTGGTCAACAATCTGTTAAAAACGAAGTAATTATTTTGTCTAAATAAGCTAATCTAAGCATTCACGAAAAGGGTCATATGGTTTATTTAGTTGTGTTGGTTGACTTTCAATCAAATTTCGAATTGTTTTAATTTAAGTCTACTAGTACACTTCATTTCTCAGAGGACTAGCAAATTAGATAAGATGGAATATTATCCTCTGTTATATAGACTTTGTTTTTTAAATAGATAGAAATGAATTTTCGTATTTCATTGACATTGATAAAAATGTAGTGAGTCTGATTTCTAACTAGAGTATTTCATTCGTAAATTATGCATTAGTAATATTTTAAGTTCTCGCTTAGGTTTGGGATTGTAGTTGTCACTATTTTTACGCTAGTATGTGTGATTACGTTTGTTAGGAATAGATGTTAGAAATATCTTCCCGGGTATAAACACAGAATGACATTGAAACAGATGGAAAGATTAAGAAGGAGGAGTATGCACACAAGAGTGGAAAGCTAGGATTTTTGCTGCAGGGGTTACAATATTACATGCTGGAGCAAGTGAGAAAATATTTGAGCGACACATGGAGATGGTGCGTTGACTTCACCACCCAATTTGGTTTCGTTGAGGGCTTATTTTCCAGCTCCAAATTTATTATCATCAACCCAGTTATAAGATGAATGTGTAGTTATACGAAGATGGATAGGATAAGAAATGAAAATATTCGACGAAAGATAGGAATACTACCGGTGGCTGAAAAGATGAGAGAACATAGATTGAAGTGGTTTGGGCACGTAATGAGAAGGTCTCTGAATGTTCCCGTAAGAACAAAAATTTATTACCAAGAGCTCAACACAAAGAAAGGTAGAGGTAGATCGAAACTTACTTGGGAAAAGATAGTAAAACAAAACTTAATGGATTGCGATATAGATTGATGTACAATGTGCCTTAGAAAAAATGGAGGAAAGTGTTAGAAATCGACAATCACACAAATTGCAAACGGAAAGAGAAAGAGAGAGAGAGAGAATAGACACAGGGATTTACTCTGGTTCACCCAATTTAGGCCACATTCAGCTTCTCTGTGCTATATTCACCTCACCGTCACTCGTTACAAGTCACTCGATTTACAAGGAGAGTATAAATAGGATTAGAAAAATCCTAACAGCAGTTATTCATTGGTCCAAGTCCAAACTACTAAGAAAATTACAATAGATCAGAGTATAAAACTATTTGTCTCATGTATAATATTAAGTGTTATCTGATTTAATTAATAAAAGGGCATAATGGTAATTGACTGTTAAGGGAAGTTACTTAAAGGTGTAACTGTTGATAGGTGCAGTTATAAGAAGGATAATGGACAGTTTTCTGATTATTGGTGTCTGAGAGAAATTAACGTTCATATGGGTCTGCCTATGAGAGTTGTATCCTATCCCTATCTGAAGAAGATACAAGAACAGAAAAGGGTCAAGACTCTGAGAAAGTATTCCATTGTTAAAGATTTTCCGCATTAATGGACAAAGGTACGTTTATGTGAAACTCATGAATTCTAAAAATCCTCTTTCATGTTCTTGATGTGATTGTTGTTGAACATAAATCAATGATTAAAGTGCTAACATGTGGTATCAGATCATGTGTTTAAGAATTTATGTTTTTTCATAGATTATGAATGATTCTTAATTCATGAAAAGTTAGGGTTTTTGAAAAAAAATAAAAAAATTCACGATCATTGTTGAAAATATGAAAGTTGGAAAACGTGAGGGACACTGAGATATCTTACTTGTCTCGATTTTGTGTCCATGGAATAGCATTTGAAATTTACAACCCTTTACCTTCAAGTTTTATACACAGATCGCTGTTTCATATTGATTTGGAGAAGCATATGACTTTTCGGTAACCGTGCATCATTGTTGGATTTCAATATATTCTTTGAATTCAATTCACTATTACTTTTGGTAATTTGCTTTTGCTGATGTAAATTGTACGTGGACATTTACTTGATTATGGCGCGGGATCGCGCCAAATTGGCGCTGATCCGCGCCACTTCACTGGAGATTTTATTGGATTACAGTGCGGGAACGGCGTTAACTCGCGCCAACTCTTTGGTCCTTGTACTGGAAAAGTGTGTCACTATCATATGTTTATTCCATTTTATGAATTATTGGGAAAACATGAAAGGACATTGATATACATGAAAATTGGACAAAGTTTTGGAATTAAATATGGTAGATCTGTTAGTCACCAAAGTGGCCAAATCTTGAAGAGTTATTTTAATTTCAAATATTATGATTCTGTTTCAATTACCATGACTGTGATGCTATGAAGAGTATGAAATAATTTTCATGTTGTGGTATATTGAAGTTCATTATTATAGGACAGTTAGGGATCAACCTAAAGGATGATTATTTGTTTTATAAAATGAACATGGACGTTGCTATTGTTGGCATATTTCCTTGCATTTGGACATTCAAAGATGACAAATATTTCTGATAGGGGTATGCATCATTGCCAAATTATGTGAAATTTATATAACATCATTATGGTTAATGTGTATATTGATGGATCCCCAAAGGTGAACATTGATATGCATTGAAGTTAGTATATTTGAATCTGTGAAGTATGTTAGTATGTGATATGTATGACTCAAAACATTAATGTTTTTTAAATGTTATTCCTCGCAGAACCTGTTGCCACACATTCCATGTTCTTAACTGTTGCAGTTTTTAATGGCTGAACTTCTCTGAATGGAAAGAGCAAATCCAATTTTACCTTGGGGTAATGGATATGGATATGGCTCTTAGAGAAGAGATATTTTGTGCTGTTACTCCTGAAAGCACTGAGGATGAAAGGAACCATTTTAAGAATTGAGAAAGATCCAACATATTGAGTCTGATGTACATGAAAATGAGCATTGCAAGCAACATTAAGTCAGCTCTTCCACAAACTGAAAGTGCCATAGAAATGATGAAACTTGTGGAAGAACGCTCCCAAATTGCTGATAAGTCTCTTGCTGGGACACTTATGAGTACACTGACCAACATGAAATTTGATGGTTCGCGTACTATGCATGAGCATGTTATTGATATGACAAGCATTGCGGCAAAATTGAAATCATAGGGAATGGCTGTGGATGAGAATTTCCTGGTGCAGTTCGTATTGAACTCATTACCGTCTGAGTATGGTCCTTTCCAAATGAACTATAACACCATGAAAGATAAATGGAATGTGCATGAATTGCACAATATGCTAGTTCAGGAGGAAATCAGACTCAAGAATCACGGAGCTCATTCCATAAATTATGTGAAGCATCAATGAGCTGAAAAGAATAAAACTAAGAAGCATAAGAAGAAAGGAGGAGGAGGAGGACCTCTTAAGATGGATGAGGCCTCTTCTTCTAAAATCCACAAAAAGGAAAGTAATGCAAAGATGAGATGCCATTTCTGTAAAAAGGAAGGACATTTCGAAAAGGATTGCCTGAAACGTAAGGCTTGGTTCGAAAAGAAAGGTAAGTCTAGTGCTTATGTATGTTATGAATCAAACTTGGCTGAAGTTCCTTATTATACGTGGTGGATTGATTCTGGTTGTACTACTCATGTTTCTAATACAATGCATGGATTCCTTATGACCCAAACCACAAGACCAAATGAAAAGTTTGTCTTTATGGGCAATAGAGTGAAAGTTCCGGTGAAAGCTGTTGGGACGTACCGTTTAATTCTCGACAGTGGATTTCATTTGGACTTATGTGAAACTCTTTATGTCCCTAGTATATCTAGGAATTTAGTTTCAATTTCCAAACTTGATGTTGTTGGATACTCTTTTAAATTTGGTAGTGGTAGTTTCAGTTTGTACAAGCACAATCATTTGATTGGTAATGATACTTTATGTGATGGATTATATAAATTATGTCTTGATAATCTTTATGCTGAAACGCTTATGACTTTGCATCATAATGTTGGTACTAAACGTACCTTAATTAATGAATGTTCCGCTTACTTGTGGCACAAACGTTTGGGACACGTTTCCAAAGAAAGAATGAAAAGATTGGTGAAGAATGAAATCCTTCCGGATTTAGATTTTACTAATTTAAATGTTTGTGTGGATTGTATTAAAGGAAAACAAACTAAACACACAAAGAAAGGAGCCACAAGAAGCACTCAGCTTCTTAAAATTATACACACTGATGTATGTGGTCCGTTTGATGTTAATGCTTTCAATAAAGAAAAATATTTTATCACCTTCATCGATGATTATTCACGTTATGGTTATGTCTATTTACTGCATGATAAGTCTCAAGCTGCAAATGCTTTAGAAATTTATATTAGTAAAGTTGAAAGACAATTAGACAAAAAGGTGAAAATTGTCAGGTCTGATAGGGGTGATGAATATTATGGAAGGTATGATAAAAGTGGACAACATACGGGCCCATTTGCTAAATTCCTGGAAAAGCATGGTATTTGTGCTCAATACACGATATCTGGTACACCACAACATAATGGTGTGTCAGAAAGGCGTAATAGGACCTTACTGGATATGGTTAGGAGTATGTTAAGCAACTCTTCTTTACCCATTTCATTATGGACTTATGCTCTAAAAATTGCCATGTACGTATTGAATAGGGTTCCTAGTAAGTCAGTTCCAAAGACTCCTTTTGAACTTTGGACTGGAAGGAAACCTAGTATAAGACACCTGCATGTTTGGGGTTGTCAGGCAGAGATTAGATACTACAATCCGCAAGAAAAGAAACTGGATGCAAGGACAATAAGTGGTTATTTCATTGGTTATCCAGAAAAATCGAAAAGGTATAGATTTTACTATCTTTATCATACTACGAGGATTATTGAATCTGGAAATGCAAGGTTCATTGAGAATGGTGAAGCTAGTGGGAGTGAAATACCACGTAAAGTGGATATTCATGAAGTGAGAATACAAGTTCCATTGACTTGTAGCTCTAGCAAAGTCGTTGTTCCTCATGTTATTGAACCAATCAATAATAATGATGGACGAGTTGATAATCCCACTACTCATGAAGAAATCATTGTTGATGAACCGAATGAACCCATAGTAAAAGAACCACAACAAATAGCATTAAGAAGATCTCAAAGAAAAAGGAGATCTGCCATTTATAATGATTATGTGGTATATCTACAAGAGTCTGATTTTGACTTGGGTATTCAGGATGATCCAGTAACATTTTCACAAGCCATGAATGGTAATAATGGTGATAAGTGGTTAGATGCCATGAAAAATGAGTTGAAATCTATGGAATAGAATAAGGTTTGAGATCTTGTTGAGTTACCATAAGGGTGCAAGATAGTTGGTTGTAAATGGGTCTTTAAGACCAAACGTGACTCTCATGGTAACTTGGAACGCCACAAGACCAGACTAGTTGCAAAAGGATTCACTCAGAAAGATGGCATGACTATAAAGAAACTTTTTCACCAGTTTCAAAAAAGGATTCTCTAAGAATCATTATGGCATTGGTGGCTCATTATGATCTAGAGTTACACCAGATGGATGTAAAAACTACTTTTCTAAATGGGAATTTAGATGAAAATGTGTACATGGACCAACCAATGAGGTTCATAGAAAAGGGTAAAGAGCACATGGTGTGCAAACTTAAGAAATCAATATACGGACTTAAACAAGCGTAACGACAATGGTACCTTAAGTTTAATGATATTGTTGTTTCCTTTGGATTTAAAGAAAACATTGTTGATCGATGTATATATCTGAAGATCAGTGGGAGCAAGTTTATATTATTGATTCTGTATGTTGATGATATTTTGCTTGCAACTAACGATATTGGTCTTTTAAATGAGACTAAGAAGTTTCTCTCTAGTAACTTCGAAATGAAAGATTGGGTGAGGCAGCTTATGTGATAGGAATAGAAATATTCCGTGATAGATCACAAGGACTGTTAGGTTTGTCTCAGAAAGCATACATTAATAAAGTTTTAGAGAGATTCATAATGGAAAACTGCTCATCATCTCCAGTTCCAATTCAGAAAGGAGATAAGTTTAGTCTCATGCAATGTCCCAAAAATGAATTGGAACGAAAAGAATTGGAAGCAATTTCGTATGCATCATTAGTTGGGAGCTTAATGTATGCTCAAACTTGTACAAGACCAGATATTAGCTTTGCAGTTGGGATGTTGGGAAGATACCAAAGTAATCCCGGTATGGATCGTTGGAAAGCTGCAAAGAAAGTTCTGAGATATTTGCAAGGAACTAAAGGTCACATGCTTACTTATAGAAGGTCTAACGACCTTGAAGTGATTGGATACACAGATTCGGATTTTGCAGGATGCGTAGACACAAGAAAGTCTGCATGTGGTTACCTGTATATTTTAGCTGAAGGAGCTATATCATGGAAAAGTGCGAAGCAGACTGTAATTGTTGCGTTCACTATGGAAGCTAAATTTGTGGCATGCTTTAAAGCCACGATTCAGGCTAAATGGCTACGAAACTTTATTTCAGGGCTTGGATTGGTCGACAACATTGAAAAGTCGCTGAAAATTTATTGTGATAATTCCGCAGCGGTCTTCTTTTCTAAAAACGACAAGTATTCCAAAGGTGCTAAACATATGGAATTGAAATACTTTGTCGTTAAAGAAGAGGTTCAAAAACTTAGAGTGTCTATAGAGCATATTAGCACTCATCTTATGATAGCCGATCCCTTGACGAAGGGATTACCGCCCAAGACGTTTACTGGTCATGTATGTAGAATGGGCATTATGTCAGCTAGTGAATGATGATACTTGTTGTTATGTATTAAATGTTGACACTCTGAGCTCATTGATGAATATATGTTTCTCACATTGTCTTGTTTTCAATTTATGTATGCATGCAAGTATATGTGATGATATTGAAAATATTTATGGTCCGTAATGAAGACATTATTGTTGGACATAATGTGTACTTCCTATTAAAGTATCATGTTAGGAAGAAGAGTCAATATAGTGGTACATGGAAGGAACTATGCCGACTTGATAGCATAGAACCGCCATGACTCATGTTGATTTCATTTCTAATAATGAATTATGATGAGGTCAATGTATGAAACCTTTAGCCTAGTAAATGCGCATTATAATGAATGTTGATTAAATCATGAAGGGACACCTCATGACATGAGCCAAACGGGAGAATGTAAAACTATTTGTCTCATGTATAATATTAAGTGTTATCTGATTTAATTAATAAAAGGGCATAATGGTAATTGATTGTTAAGGGAAGTTACTTAAATGTGTAACTGTTGATAGATGCAGTTATAAGAAGGATAATGGACAATTTTCTGATTATTGGTGTCTGAGATAAATTAATGTCCATCTGGGTCTGCTTATGAGAGTTGTATCCCATCCCTATCTGAAGAAGATACAAGAACAGAAAAAAGTCAAGACTCTGAGAAAGTATTCCACTGTTAAAGATTTTCCGCATTAATGGACAAATGTTTATGTGAAACTCATGAATTCTAAATATCCTCTTTCATGTTCTTGATGTGATTGTTGTTGAACATGAATCAATGATTAAAGTGCTAACACAAAGATCCACAATAATACCTAGCCTCTACAGGCCGAGCCTGGGGGGCGCTGCCCCCTAGACATGGGAGCGGGACCCCAGTTGCCTTTCTGCTGACCCCTACAACAAGGGTCTTCATCAGCATGCGAAGTATGAGCTATACCCAACAGAAAGCTATAAGCATGGAGGATTAGTCCCGTTGTTATTAGTTCCAGAAGGTCCATTTTTAGTCCTTTTTCCTCTTCATCTCTCTCCTCTTCTTTTATCACTTTTATATTTATATACATATACATATATATATATATTATTACTATTTTATTTATTTTTACTTTTTATTTTATCTTTTTTTCAACCCTTTCTATCTTTTATTTGAGTTTATCTACTACTGATCTCAATTAATTTGGGATAAAAATATTGTTGATATTGATGTTAATATTGACTTCCTCCTACTAGAGACAATAAAGAGTGAATAATTTGTTCACCAAAAAAAAAGAGAGTGAATAATTTAATGTATAAGGACTAATTTGAAATTTTTGTTTGCAAGACCAAAATAAATATAAACATAACATATAAGATCTAAAACTTACATCTAAAAAAAACTTACATGAAATACAGCCAATCAAACGTAATGTGGCGCCATGTCAAAATCCATTAGTAATTTAAGACGAATTGACGATGATATTGATGCATAATTCAAAAGCTAGCTCAAAAGATGATAGTATCTAAGGACTTATAAATATCATATTAATTGTTCATACAACCAATATGAAACTTTAAGCCGTATACCTTGCAAATTGGATCGTAACAGATATCATGACAATTATAGAAGACAAAAAATAGATTAAATATAATTTCTTATATAAAAATAAATTTAAAAATATTTTTTCGTGAGGAGGAGCAAGTTAAAAAAGAACGTCACAATTGGAGAGAATAATTTATGAAAAAATTATTTATCATTTTAAATAGGCATAGATTATTCTACCTATCTTTTTTACTGTCTTTACCTACTATTCTACAATACTATTAGAATCTCAATTACTTTTATTATTTTTCTCTTCTATTAAGATTTTGCTCTAATAATATTGAAGAATGATAGACAAAAAAAAAATAGAATAACTTATCCCTTTTAAATATCACAATTTTTATATCATTTTTTTAAATGAAGTAAGTTATTTTTAATACGAGATAGGTTATTCTATCTTTCTTTTTTTTCTGTTTGCCTTTGTCAAGAAAATTGAAAGAGAAATAATTTAAAAATGTGTAGAAATAACATCATTTCGTTTAAAATAATACAAAATAATCATCAATTATATATTAAAATGATTTACTTCCATTTAAAATGAGAGATATTTTTTCATAATTTAATTTATCCTTTTAAGTAAAGGGAATCAATTAACTTTTTTTAATATCAATTAACTTCCTATGCTTTTGAACATGGTGGCTTTGTAATTTGTAAACCTTCGCTCACCCTGCTCTGCAGACAGCAACAGCATCCGCGTTATTGGTACGCTCACAACTCAATAACCCTATTTGCCCCCAGGATGGCCGGCGGCAACCATCCCAAATCCTCCGCCTCTGCCTCCGCATCCGCCTCCGCCTCTGCCTCCGCATCCGCCTCCGCCTCCAACCGCAAATCCCGCTGGGAACCCAACGCCACCGGCACCGCCACAAACAAATCTCCGTCGGATCCCAAACCCTCCACCGCCCCCTCCCCAAAAACCAAATCCAACCCCAACCCCAACCCCAACCCTAACCCTAATGCTAACCATAACTCTAACCGTAGCCCCGGAAACCCGGCCCTTATGCCATTTCCCTTCCCGGAGCCTCCTCCTCCCCCGGCTTACGGCTTCCACATGCTTGAGCGCCGAACCATAGTCCTCGCCGACGGCAGCGTCCGATCCTATTTCGCTCTTCCCCCTGATTACCAGGATTTCGCACCACCACCCCGCCCTCTTGACCTCCTTGGCGGCTTCGATAAACGCTTCCCTCCCGGCGGATCCCTTAGTCCTGGGAGGTTCCGCCTCGACGGCCGCCACCCCCATTACCGGAATCCGCTTGAAGGCTCGGCGAAGAGGAAGTATGGCGATGAGGATGGTAGGGATGAACTTGCTAGGCAAAGGGAGCAGCTTTTGCGTAATGCTAATCTCAATGGGTTTGGTACGGTTCCTGGCGGCGAGTTTTATGCAGGTCCCAGTGGCCCCCTCAGACGGGATTTGGTGGACCCTGGTCGTGATGCTGAGTTGAGACCTTCCAAGCACCTGAGGGTTGATGGGGTTAATGCTAGGCACCAGCAGGTTGATCAGGATGCGTTGAAGAAAGCCTTTCTTCAATTTGCTAAGTTGATTAATGAAAATGCCTCCCAAAAGAAGAGTTACTTGGAGGATGGAAAGCAAGGGCGGCTTCAGTGTGTGGCTTGTGGCAGGTTTGGTAAAATTCGGATGATTATGAATTTTTTTTCTGAGGTTGTTTGGTTTGAATTCATTTATAGCATTAACAAGGTAGTCAAAGGCCTTAAGGGCGCTATGCAGTTTCATTACCTTGAGGTGAGAAGCACCCAAAAATTAGAGGAAGAAGAAGATAGCTGTAAAATATTCAAGCATAGCATAACATTCATAGTGAAAATAAAACTGATTAAGTTGTTCAATTTGCGTGGCCCTAAGCTTCTTGCTCCAAAGATCCTAAACCGGCCGGCTAGTTACTTTGTAACATTTGGACTTTTTTTACCCCATTAGCATCACAATTGACAAGTAAGATTGTTGGGCTTTTGGGTTTTTTATGATTATCATTTAGGCACTAAAGGTGTGCCTTGCCTGAACCAGAAAGCATGCCTAAGGCACCGGAAGCGTGGCTCTCATCCAGCAGGAGGCATTGACCCCTGAGGCATACCTTTGTCTACCTCTTTAGCTTATGCGTACAAGGAGACAAAGGAAGTATTAGGATTTTAGAATCTTGATATATCCAAATTCTTTAGAAATGAAGTGTCTTAAGTTTTAGAAAAATGGATCTTTGCTTGTCTTGTTTCCTGGTGCAGCTCAGTTGAGAGTAGTGGAAGTTGATTGCTTTATTTCAGGTTGACAACATTACAACTTAAATTTTGTCTGGAGCTTAGGTTTTTGAAAATATTAGGGTCCTGGTCCTAATGTTGTTTCTTTCCATTGGAGTTTATGACTTTTATTTTGTTAGCTGCATTTGCTTTCACCAAATCTGACAGTAACAGCATGTATTCACTCATTCACAGCCTAGGAAACTTAGTCCTTAAAACAGGCTGCCAAATAAATTTGGTTCTATGCTTATATTTGATTGCACAAGTTGTCAAACTTTTGTGATGTGAAACTCCCAACTTCATACTTTACAGTACTAGAAACTTGTTTTGTAAGAGGATTTATTTTGTGCATCTGATTTCATTTAGGATTGTCAGGAAATTTTGGTAGAAGGATTTTTTTAATATAATATTATAATTGGAAATTGGTTTGAATCCAGGAAACAGCCTCTTTGCAATTATGCAAGGGTAAGGCTGCGTACAAGAATTACCTCCACCCTACACTCGCTAGTCGGGTTTAACGGGGCGTGGTTTTTTCTAAATATTATAATTGGAAAGCAGTAAGTGAGCCCTTGAAGTTTAGATACTTGTATTTACATGGTTGGTTTCTGTTGTTTATATGGAGTCATTTCCGTAAGTAAGCATTCTTGTTGAACTGGATACTGTATTTATTGAGCTTATATATTTCTGCTTTTGCTATAGTTGTTCTGTTAGAAATAATGGGGACTGATATTTGTAGACCTGTTGTAGTTCTTATGAAGTCAGTTGATGGTTCTGTAGGATTTGATGGATTGACAAACTTATTTCTTTCATGAGATATACTTATGATGTCATGGTTGCATGTCTCATAGTTTCTATGCAACTGAGATGATCTTTATCTCTTTTTTGGTGATTGACAAGTTGCAAGCTTTTGTTGAAACTGTTCTCATTCTTTGTAGCTCTTAACATGGCTAGAGCTCTTATGTTTATCTAATATAGCATTGGCAACAGTTCTGCTTTATTTTTGTTTATGACTGGAGGAGTCATTTTACATTGGAGCTCTTATACCTTTCACCAAGTTTGTAGCTCTTTATGGCTTATAATATGGCAACACTTCTGCTCTCTCTCTACACTCTAATGTTACTTGATTTATGAAATGGCTGACACTGCCATCAATTTCTGACTTATTAATTCTAATCTATGAAGTTAGTGTTCTATTGTATAGGTTGAACGTGAGGTGCAGTGATAATTTGAGTATTGTTATATTGGTTACTACTTATTACAACTGAGGCTGTTTTTCTATTTGTTGCAAAAAATTTAGGATAATGGGCATTTTAGATGAGAATTATAGAGCTGCATTTGTATATGTAAAGAACCAATTCAACCCAAAAGCTTAAGCTGTTGGGTGAGGCTACATTAATGGTTTTATATATCTCAACACTCCCCCTCACACGAGAGCCCACTGGGCTTGAAGGGTGGATAATGCACAGGCCCACCTACCTGTGCGAATAAAGAAATTCCACTTGAAAGAAATTCCAGCTTAAGCTGTTGGGTGAGGCTACATTAATGGTTTTATATATCTCAACAGTATAAGTGGGCTGCCTTTTATTATTTGGATAGATAAGTGAGCTGCACGCTCATAGACATGTTTCGGTAATTAGAGGAAGAATATAAGAAAGTATGAATTTTATTGATGTGATCTCCCTTAGCCCTGGATCAATGGAGAACTTAGGTTAGGAAGAGAAAGAATGATTACAGAGCTTTCCCTCTCAGTGTTCGAGAGCCTGATCTCTCCTATTATTGACTATTACATCCAAATGCCCTCTCTCTCTCCCCTTCATTTTCTTTATCCTACTTCTATGCTTCATCAAAGCTTTGAATCCCCTTTTCGAGAATTCAAATCATGACTCCATCCTCGTGTGCACCATGAAAGAACCTCTTGAACCAGGAGCTATGATACTGGTTGATAGAACTAGTGCAATTGTTAGAGAAAGAGTGAAAGAAAGAACGTAGGAATTTACTGATGTGATCTCCCTTAGCTCTAGATCATTGGAGATTCAGAGAACCTATATTAGGAAGAGAAAGAATGATTACAAAGCTTTTCCTCTTAGTGTTCAAGAGCCTGATCTCTTTTATTTACTGACTGTTACAACTAATTACCTTCTCTCTCCTTCCTTATACCCTACTTCTGACAATTCTCTTGGGGAATATGTCCCAATATCATTCAACCTAACTACTATATCTACAATATTAATGGGCTCGAACTATATCTAACTATTATTAACCCCAACTGTATCAATGGGGTCCATCTGTATTTCTTTACACATACACTCTCCTAAGTGTTGGCCTGCTACTAACACATCCATCTCTGGCCCTTTCAGTTATATCTTAGAGTCATGCTACCATGCTTATTCCTTGCATGAATATTCTCTTGCTTCTATAAAATCGATTTATACTTCCTTGTATAAATCCCCCTGTCGGTGCTCTTTAGTACAATGCTTCTAAAGTTGAGTTTCAGCATCATGTGTGGTCTGCACTATGATGTCGTTGCAAATAATTGAATCCTTTTAAGAACAGAAACATCTGATGCGCACAAATTCGTACTGATTAAAATTCTCCTTCTGTATCTCTTAGGAGAGAGCTTTATTTGTTTTATTGGAGTATGAGTATCTGTCTACCTGTTTAATACGATATTTGGTTACTGACTTACTGTGTATATGCTATGCCTTTGCAACTTATGGTCTGGGAAAGTTTAGGCATCTGTCTATCTGTCCTTGAAAATTTAGGCATCTGCAAAAGTTTATTACCTAACTATGTTACGGTGCTAATTTGGGATTTTATAAGAGGTGGGGATCCCCATTTGAGTAGTCCCTTGGTGCTTTGGTGTAACTTAGGATGCGTAGATTCTCTGTCTGACTTAGTTCAAAAAAGATATTTGGTGTTAAATATCAATTAAAGGAGGTGAATGTGTTCTATTACTTTTCCTTTTGTATGCACTTACAGGTTGGTTATGGGATGAAAACCTAAATATATTCTTCAATGCCCTTGATATGCCAACTTTCAGGTCTACTAAAGATTTTCCAGATATGCATTCTCTCATTATGCACACTTACAACTCAGATAATGCTGATTTACGTGTTGATCATTTGGGATTACACAAAGCTCTGTGTGTCTTAATGGGTTGGAACTACTCAAAGCCTCCTGATAACTCAAAGGCATATCAGTTCCTATCTGCTGATGAAGCAGCAGCAAATCAGGATGATCTGATCATGTGGCCACCACTGGTTATCATTCATAATACAAATACTGGAAAAAATAGAGATGGTCGCATGGAGGGTTTGGGAAACAAAACGATGGATAATAAAGTTAGAGGTATAATGTACCCCTCCATTCTTTATCATCTCTGTCTTGATGTCTCTTTTAAAGGTCTGAATAAATTCAGGTAAATGTTACTTGTATGCATGCTGAGTATATAGTTGTTTCAGCGGGAAACACATAGTTACCTTTCCCAATATTTCTTAGTTAGCCAATCTCTTCTTCATGCTACAGTTTGATGGAATACTCTTATGACATTATCTCTTTAAAGATAACGAGTTGAAAAGTCATTTTGATTTTATAGGAGTTGCCATTGACATAAAATTAGAAACTGAGACACTAGAGACAGATCCAGCATTTGAAATGATTACTGATTGACACTTGCAGCAGTCTAAGATTTACTTTGTGTTTATTTATGTTGCTATTGGTGATTGAATTTTATTGTGAAGGTGTTTTCTTTTGTACAAACACTGATATATATGGCATTCTATAGCAGTTATGTGATAAGATTGGACAAATATATCAGAATATAAACGCAGCAACACAAGATTTTTGGCCCAGAGGAACTGGATTTCTGTATATTAATCAAAGGAAACAATACAATAACAAGGTTGTTTATGACAGAATGATAAATGCAGAATTAAAATAAGAACATCAACTACAGTAATTCCAGAGGCTGGTTCAGTGCAATTAAAGAGGCACTGATCTCTCCCAAGAACTCCCAATTTTCCAGCCTCCTTTCTCCTTCCATCCATCCGTTTATGTAACTGACCAAGGCCTCATTCCACGTCAGCAATGTGCTCAGCACCAGCACTAACAGAATTGTTCTCATTCCCTTTATTTGCGCTACCTCCTGCTGAGTCATCAATAGTGAGTAATCCCCTGTAACACTTCCTACTATACACCTTAAGAGGAATCTTATCAATACTTCCCCCCAAAACATTCACCTTGTCCTCAAGGTGAGGTGCAGTCCTAAAAAAATAAAAATAAAATAAAATAAAATAAAACAAAAAATTCCACCGGGATCCCATTGCTTGAATTGCACGGACCTCCTTATGTATGAGGATGCATAAGAACTTTCACTTGATGATGCACAACAACTTCCACCCGGGTCCCATTGTATCTCTTTAACTTCCAAATGTTTAGCCAATGCATTTGAGCCACAAACTTCCGACACTTCAATGTTTTGTGCAAGTCCTCGAGGAATAGGAAGAAAGTTAAGAATACCCGTATGACAGAATTCACGGATATGCAGCTTGAAAGGATAAAATATTGTACCTTGTGCAAATGGACTTATGGGCTGCCAAGCCCAATTCGCACAACAAACAGAGACAACAATACCATTATTTTCAGATTGAACTGGGCACATCTGAACCTTAATCAGATCCAATTTCATCTCCGCTTCGTGCTGCAATTTTCTCACGCAATTATAGCATGCCAACTCCTCGCCAAAGCTTGAATCTGGCGGCTCCAGTAACGGTGGAGGTTGGGCCACCTCCTCCGGTGGCTGTGGCATCTCTGGTACCCCTGTAACCCTTGCCAACAACTCCACCCCTTCACCCTTAATCAAACCCCATATCCTCATACTTTGGTTCGAAGAGGGCCCTAAAATGTTGTAGAGAGAGAGTTGCAGCGTTTCAACTTCTTCTCTAGCCTCGTCAATGGTCGTCGTTTCCGTTTCGTCAGCCTCTATTTCGCCTTCGACCTCGTCAGCCACTAAGAGATGAAGTTGTGGTACCTTGTAGTGCTGGTTGGGATTCCAACGGTCTTCGCACTTGAAGCATCCTCCTCTGTGCATGCGGTCTTGGAGCTCGGATTGTGCGAGCCTCCTGCCATTCCCTTTCAGATTGTTGCTTCCAGATCCTTCTAGGGTTCGCGAATCTCCAATAGCTTCAGTGATATCAGATCGATTTGGGTTCCCTGAACGTATGTCGTTTGGTGACGTTCCACATCCTCCTCTGCGCATGCGGTCTTGGAGCTGCCCTTGGGTCAAATGACGACCTTCCGTCATGGCTTCGTTGCTCCCAGCGCTTCTAGTTGCTTTGGGTTGTCTGAACTGCCCCATGACGCTGCCACGTGTGTTAGTGGCTTGAAGCGTGGCATTAACAGACGCGTGAGTGTCTATCAGCATGTCACTCAGTTTCATAGTGGTAGAAGAACTCACGTGCCTGGCACCTGAGTTGTTAATTGAGCTTCTGTTGGGCTTAGTACTACGACCCAGCCCACCTCCTTTGATACTAGGCCCAACTCCAAACCCATCAGCTAACCCAGCCATAATTCGTTTCTCCAACGTCGTCATCTCCTTCATCATCTTCTCCGTCAGAGTAGTTGGTTTCTGCCATAGTTCCGTTCCATAGCTTTCTACCTCTTCCACACCATGGCCTCGAGGAAGCTCCAGCTTAGGGGTTAACCAATCAACGAGGTGAACGTCTTTGTTGACACTCTCTTCTGATTTCACCGATTCTGATCTCCTCTTGCAAGCCGGACCGTGACGATGGAGTTCTCGTCTAGATCTTCTTTTGCTTCGCAAAAGCTGCTCGATCTCATTCAATTTTTGTTCTGTTCTGCGGAAACGCTCTTCTATTTGCTCTTCATTCCTCCTCATCATCTCTTCTATGACCTCCAAACGTATTTCCATGGCGCGCATCAAACCGTTCAAAGCACCCCTAGGATCGGAGTGCTCTGATACCAATTGATAAGATTGGACAAATATATCAGAATATAAACGCAGCAACACAAGATTTTTGGCCCAGAAGAACTGGATTTCTGTATATTAATCAAAGGAAACAATACAATAACAAGGTTGTTTATGACAGAATGATAAATGCAGAATTAAAATAAGAACATCAACTACAGTAATTCCAGAGGCTGGTTCAGTGCAATTAAAGAGGCACTGATCTCTCCCAAGAACTCCCAATTTTCCAGCCTCCTTTCTCCTTCCATCCATCCGTTTATGTAACTGACCAAGGCCTCATTCCACGTCAGCAATGTGCTCAGCACCAGCACTAACAGAATTGTTCTCATTCCCTTTATTTGCGCTACCTCCTGCTGAGTCATCAATAGTGAGTAATCCCCTGTAACACTTCCTACTATACACCTTAAGAGGAATCTTATCATTATGCCAATATGGTGTTTGTATGTCCACCTGTTTGATTCAATTTGAAGTCCTGGCAAGGTGAAAGTGTATACCCTTTCGGCCTTCTCTTCTGTTGTGTGCTAATGTTGTTATGTTTTCTTCATTTCTTTGCTAAAAGTTTAATCTTATATGAATTTTCAGTTTCATATTTAATCATGGGTCTGCTTTCTGATAAATTATGAGGAATTTGTAAACCCATAACAGCTTTTGTTATCATAAGAGTTCTTGGAGTTGATTATTGTGACTTGCTTCTTTCATTTTTTATCTTTCCTGTCATATATGTTTCCAGAGTAGATTTTTGCTCTGGTGTGGCTATTGAATGTTTTTTTAAAAGCTGGGTCATTTGTAATTTGTTTGACCTTCATTACCACCCTTTTATGTCTTGGTTTGACATATCTAGTTGATTCTCAGTTGTGCTAGGCATCTATATAGTCAGTTACAGCTTATGAGAGAGGCTGAGAAAGATTAAGAATTCAATAATGTAAAACAGCTTTGTTGAAGCTGTTTATTTGCACACTACTGTTCATTTGTTACATCTTCAAACTGCTTTGTGAGTGTTGCTGTAACTTTCTGGTATTTTGGTTTTGGTATGTGGGAAAAGTTAGCTTTTGGTGTGTAGGTATTGGTGTTGCAAGTTTTCATCAGCATCCTGACATGTTTCATATAGTTAAATGATCCCAATGACTGGAGCTTAAATTACAAACACATTAAAAAAAAAAAACTCTGGCAGCGTTGTTATTGTAGCTTCGACAAGAATACGCTAAATCATTGATGGTTTTTAAGTTTCTTTCTACTTTATCCTCATGGATTTACTTTGATTTGTTTTTTGGAATTTTTGACTCATGATGCATTGGTGATTCTGCAACTTGAGTAGATGGGTTTGGATTGTTAGATAGTTTTCATTCTTTTCACATTTTAGGTATTGGTTAAATTTCTTTGCAGTCAATCCGAATGCTTTTTTTTTTAGTTAAGAATTTTGATTTTGGGGTGATTGGATGTAATTGTCATGCTAACTCATAGGTTCTCTTATTGCAGTCCTCTGTAGCTCCCTAAAGATTCAGGTCCTCAATAATCAATGCTGATTACTTTTGAAAATGAGAGAGAAACTAGAGTGGATTTAAAATTCTTGATACTCCTGAGGAGTGGTCATATCTTCTCACATCTGCTGAGGTGGGAGAGTGAGTGTATGCTTTCAAAAGGTTAGGTGGGACTAACTGCAATCAGATTGTCGAAATTGTTCAGATGTTAAGTGATATGTGTGTGAGAAAGTAGCATTACTTGAGTGGGATTATGTCAGTCCTCCAGATGGTGCTTAGATATATAGATGTTATTTATTTCGAGACAGTTAAATTGAAAATTTATATAAAAGTTCTTTTCTTTCTTTCCACCAAGGTAAAATATCCATTCCATTCAATGATACTACTGTTGTCCTTTCCATATACCATTCCGTTCAATAATATTAGTACTCTTTTCCATTCCATTCGGCTTCTTCCTATCAAATGAACTGTTAAACTTGGTTCCTGATCCATTATTTTCATGTTGTCAGTTACTGGTTCACTAACCCCCACCCATGATTGTTAACCTTATAAATAAAACTATGAATGAGTGCTTTAGTAAGGATTGGTGACGAGATGGGCATTTCTCCCATACCTCTTATAATTACATTGTGAACTATGAGAACTGGGAAACACTAGTGAGTAGCTTGAATCTGGGTTTCTATACTACCACAACCAAACAAATTAGGGACCCATGTAAAGTGTGGTTTATGCTGTAACCCGGTATATGGATGTTAGCCAAAAATTATAAAATAAAAAAGAAGAAGATTGGTCTTGGGATTTGAGGATTTTGTCTAATTTTATTTCTTCTGTAGAAGGCTTATTAATCTGTGAGTTTGTTGTATAAGGGTTCACTTTCTAGAAGCCAAACTTGCTGACTGACCCTTGCTAAACCCGTCCAAACTTGTTCACTTTGTAGGAGCCAAACTTGCTTCCTAAACCTGTCCATATTGTGGAACATTATACACTGTATTTTGACCTTGATGAATCACGTCCTTGCAGCCTTATTTTCTTAGGAATTTGATTCATTTGATTATTCTTCTTTTTTATTTTTAATTTCCTTTGACTGGCTTTAAAGTTGTTTCTTTGGGAGATAGATAGGGGGAGATGTTGTTGATGCATAGAGCTTTCGATACTTATATGTACCTCTGTACATTTATGAATGCACACTTGTGTTTATATTTTGATGATAGTTGATTTTTACAACCAAGAAGGTAGGTTTTGAACGTTATTATGGGATGCTTCTTCATTTTGTGTCTATCATTTTCAGATGTTATTCTAGTTGTTGCTTAAGTATGTCATTCTTAAGTTTGCATCTAGCACTCAGGGTATATGTTTTGAGATGATGAATTTTCAATTACGTCTTTGGGCATATGTAGCTGTCCATTTATGTACGCACTCATGTAGCTGTGCAATTATGCACATTAATGACTGTAGATTGGACAACCAAGAAAGTAGGTCTGGTGAATGTTATTGTGGGATGGCTCTTCATTTGTGTGTATCATTTATGGACATTATTCTAGTTGATGCTTAACTATGTTTTGACTTGGAGATATTGAATTGTGCATGTGTGCATCTGTTCTTACCTGTCCATTTACGCTCACATCTAGCAGTGCATTTAAACTCATGCATGTGTTCTGATGGTACAATCAAGAAACTAGGTGAACATTATTGTGGTATAGCTCTTCATTTTGTGTAGGTATCTTTTCCTTACATTATTCTAGTTGATGCTTTAATATGTTGATTTTGTACGTTGCATTGATGATATTTATTTTGAGAAAAGTAATTTTGAAATAGCGTTGTAGCTTGTTTGCATTTTTTTATATAGTCAATAGATTGCTATTGCCTTGATCTTAACAAGGTAAAAAGGGGTCGATTTGATCTATAGGCTTTCTGTCCCTGTTTCTGTTTTAATTTTTATGAATTATATTGTGGTTGTCAAGTTTTTTGATACCAAATATCGCACAAATGGAGTGATTTTTGTTTTGCTTATCCGTGGATGCACCTTTTTGTTGACTGGTGTGAAGTATTAGTTTCCTCCACTCCCATATTTTTTCTTTTTGGTGCTTGTTCCTTGTATTTCTTATTTCTTCTTGCTTTACTAGCTCCATAGTATTGCATCTGGTATATCTTGAAACCTCTATTTTATTATCTACTAGCTTGTGAGTTTAGCCGATCTTCATGACTGTAATCTTACTGCAAGTGCTTAGCTGGTTACTTTGTTGCTAGAGTCTGCAAGCTAATTTCATGTGAACTTATTTTTGGTTCTAGTCTTATTAGAAAATTAGAAATTATCTGTTTTGACCTGATGGAATAAATAGTATATTCTGGTGGATAGAAATTTGGATAATGTAGAAAATCTATCTCCTATTTTTGACAATCCTCCTAATAGTCAATTTCCCTTACTGTCTAGTCTCTTGATTTAGATGGTTTGGATTACTATCCTGCCTTTCGTTTTCTATGTCCACCTTTTTTCACTCCTATAGTTTTCCTTGACAAATATAGCATTATGTTGGGCTCAAAATCTCCACGAAGACGTAAATTACTTGGCTGATGTTGCCTTAAATGGAAGCATTTATGGCCACTGCTGCCATAATCTTTGAAATTTATGTCATATAGCTGCAAACAACTCATTGTTAGGAAGCACTTATAAAAATATTAGGTTTTGAACTTCTTTTGACAGTATTTTTTTTCCATCTGATTTTCATGCATGGTTTTCCAGAGCTCGGATTTATGGGTGGCAAATCAAAGTCATTATATGGAAGAGATGGTCATTTGGGCATGACACTGGTTAAATTTGCTGGTGATCAATCAGGCTTTATGGAGGCCATGCGGCTTGCTGAACACTTTGAGAAGGAAAATCATGGACGCAAGGATTGGGCCCGTGTGCAGCCCCAAACATTAGGAAAGGATGACGAGAACAATGCCAACCTTGTGACGGTGGATGAGAAAAAAGGAGAGAAAAGGAAGGTCTTGTATGGCTATCTAGGGACTGCTTTTGATCTTGACAAAGTTGATTTTGACACAAGGAAGAAGGCAGTCATAGAGAGCAGGAGAGAATACAAACCGTCCATGTAGTTTTTGGACTATACATGGAATAACAGTGTAAAATGGTTTGTAGATTGTTCTGGAAAAAGTCTTTCCAGTTGCATTATAGTCCCGATTCCTGAAAATTATAAAAGCTTTGTTATATTATATTAACCTTTTTAATGCTACATTAGGAGGCAGCGTTGCCAACATTTTTATTCTAATTCTTGTGATTCATTTTGATTTTTCCTGCCATAGTTAACATTAGGCACAGTAGGAAAACTTGTTCGCCTTTCCACCATCTGACAACCTGGAACGCACTACTTCTCTTAAAGTCAATGTCTGGAATCTTAAGTCTTTGTCTTGTCCTCGCTTTTCCCCATGTTGGGTGGTAACTGTCTTGTCCTCTCTACTATTTTGTACCTAATTTCATGCAAACTGTCTAAATCCCTCTTTAGTATCCCATTCCTAGTTGATTGCTTGCAGTTTTGTTTAATTGGTTGATGAAACTCTGCTCGCTGCCCATTCCTAGTGGTTAATCATCTAGTCTACTTTAATTTTTCCATTTCATTTTTGAATATTAGGATGGGGCAGTGAGTAGTAGGGAATTGGTGATGATAATGATACTTGTATGCAGTCTTGCATTCTTAACTTGGTCAAGGTTGTACCAGAAGTTTAAATGGCTTTTTGGATTTTTGGATTCAGTCACCTCTACATGACTTTGCAAGGATCACTGCTTGCTGGTGATGTTCCAGCATAATGTAGTTGAAGTTACCTCCTTAATTGTTTGAGAAAAGCATGTTTTTGCATATTACTTTGTGCACATCAAGTGGTGTGTGATGATTTTATCAAAGAAACAAGTGGTTTCTATTGGAATTGAAGGTAACCTAGTGTTGCCATATGTCCGTCAGTAAAAGTAGTGTTTATAAGTATCTGAAAATGATATACTTTTAGCTATTTACACGTTTTGGTACATAAATCATTAAATTGATAACAAACGATACATAAATGGATCTCAAAGAGACAGGTTTAAGATGACTTTAAGGACTTGTCCTTTAAAGGGAGTTATTCAACTTCTTGATGTAGGATGATCGTCAAGTGAGACTATTAATCATAAGGAGATTCAAGTCGGTGATTCATTTTCATATCACGTGTATAGCTCTTCACGTTTCTGTTATGGGAAATGTAAACATAATGTTTACAGTTGGAAAAAGTTTTTCCAGCACATACATTGAATTTTGGGCTTCTTTATTATTGTTTTTTGTTTTTTAAAATTCTTTTGGATCCCACAAAATATGTATTAGTAGGACAATTTGGGTCTTTGGACGAATGCAACCTGGCTTTTTGCTCATGTAGTTTTAATTTAATAATTAATTACTAATTCGTTCTTCAACCAAAACATATCACTCATCTGTCTCTGTTTACGTAAAATACTCGGGTAGGTAGGGAATATTCAGGTATCATTTGAAAATTTCACCTTACCCGGATATTCAAGGGGATATTCGGGTATTGTTCGTAATTTGAAAAAATGCTTGAATTATTTACTCGGGTAGGAGGGGAATACCCGAGTATTGTTCATAATCTGAAAAAATACTTGAATTATTTACTCGGATAGGGAAGGGGATACTCGGGTAATCTGGAAAACACAAAAAAAAAGGGGGCTGTTAAGTCTACTCCAAAAAAAAAAACTCCTGATCCCGAGAAGAGTTGAAGATGGTGCAACATTGAATCCTGTTAAGTTACTTCGAATGGAATCTTAGCCCGGCTCACTCGCTTTCTTTCTTTACTGCATAAGGGCATAAATGAGGTAAGGGATTTCCTTCTTTCTAACTAGTGGCTGAGAGTAAGCACCTAGTGGTAATAAAATTTGTTTTGGATGCAAGATTTATCAGTTTTTTTTTTAGGGCTTCCTTCAATTTTTTTTTCTGTTCATCGATTTTCTCCATAAAATTCCATCTGTTTCTTTCTCATCCATGTGCTTGAAAATATTCGCAGCATGCTCAGTCCTTCAAGTATTATTGAACAGGCTCTCTTAGTATTTGTGAAGTTGGCTGAACGTGTTAAACTACCAAAATGAACAGGCTGGTACCGATTGCTTCCATTTTTTTTTTCTGTTTCATTGACCATTTTGTCTATGCTATATATATATATATTGGATTGACGTTTTTTCCTATTTTGAGTAATTGAATCATATTTTTTTGCTGTTGAATATATGAATGTCTCTGTTCTTCAAGATTTAATTTATTTATTTTTGTATGAAAAAGCATGACATTTCGATTTGGCTGAATATATCCCTGCCATATATACTACTGTACTTGGGTATCCCCCTCCTTATCCGGATAAATAACTGCATATTCGGGTATCTTGTTACTTACCCGGGTAAATATTCAACATATGTAAGAATAGATTTATTTCGAGAAATATACCTGGATAAGGAGGGAGATACCCGAGTATCTTAATGGTCAACGGTCAAACAGGGACAGATTGATGTTATATTTGTTGATAAGGTTAAATTTTTGAAATAATTTATAAACGAGGGCAAGATGATAATTTTTTACTAGTGAAATGTTACAATGGTCAAAAAGCCAATGCAACCCCCTTCTTTTATATATATATAATGTCATTTCTATTCATTTATTTAGGGTCATTGCATATACTCTTATTTTTCATAAATTGAAATTGTGAGCAGTAATGTTTGACTAAGATTTCATTCCCTGCTATTTTTGAATAATATAATAAGATATGATCTTGTTAAATAGAGATAGACACTTTTTTTTTTTTTTTTCATGTAAGGATCCACTACAACTGCTGACAAGGATTACTAGTTATATTTGAAAAATAAATTCTGTCTTTATGGTAAAATTCAGATCACAGTATGACAGGCGAAAGGAACTAGTAATTTTTATCGCAGAATGACTGGATTTTCTATATTAGTATGATAGCTAAACAACCGAATTGGGGAAATTCTATCTATAATAGAAACTAAGTGAAGAAAAGTACTCAGGACTCAGGAGTTCCCCAAAAATAAGAATTAGAAAAAGAAAAAAGACACCTGAATTAGAAAGGGAATAAAAGTCTCAACACTTTCGAGGTACTTAATCTTATCAAATCCAGACTGGCCCTCCCCACTAGCTTCTTTTCCTTTTATCCAAACTTCCTGAGCCACTCCGCATAATGCATCCTCTCTATTCTAACACAATTGCTTTCATATAGAATATTCCTCTCCATAGATTAGTCTATCATTGGTGCTTAATCTCTTGTAACGTTTCCTAGATGCCTTAGTAGGGGTCTTATTACTTTGTCTTTCATATGTTGTTCAATAATTTTAGAATTGCAGAAGATTTAAATCCATTTGATTAATGGTATAAACACTCAGTTCAGTCGTGTTGGGAAGTGTTTCCATTTAATCTTCGCCATGCGTCTGTATTCAAACAATTAATGTTACTATAGAAACAAATTTGGTGGGCAATTACGTTTGTCCATGATCTATGTAATGCGGTTGAAGCATATGAGGTTAAACACCTATGATTTGGTGAATAGTGGTTCATTGTGCTTGAATAATATCGGTCTGGTTTCTTCAGAATATTTAGGGTAAATTGTACTTCTTCAGTGTGCCTTTTATTTTTTATTTTAACCGGATATAGATTTTAATGGTACATTGCTTTATTGTATCTGCTGTTAGAATTCTCGATTAAACCAAGATCTTATTATGTTTTAAAATTGCTAACATTTAAGGACACAAATACAAATATTTAATCAAGTCTTTTATCGTTTCACTATTAATCTTTACCCTGTACTTTGTCAAGGGCAAGGAACCAGTTGGGCGAAGGTATAGCTGAACATTTGTTTGTTTAATTTTATATTTTAAATTGACTGGATTGCTGAATAAGTTTTGTAAAATATTTAGCAAAAATAAAATAAGAAGCATGGAATTTTGAATTCAATTTGGGGGATATATAAGATTTACCCTCTCTTTTTTTTAGTTATATTTCATTTTTCTTCGTCGGCATCATTTTTCGCGCATATTACGCCTCAACCTATACATTAGAGTAGCATATGCAAATTCTTTGAAAAATATTTTCAGTGTTTTTCTAATACCGATTATTCGGTATATTATTTATTAAAATTGAAAGAAAAATAACCCATCCGAGAATATTTATTTTAATTTATTTAATGATTAATGTTATATGAGTCTTTTTTTTATAAAGTAAATGAATACTTATTAGGGAAGCACCGAAGATATGCTCAAATCTTAAATGTGTCTTAAACGAGAATAAACATAATTAAACGAAAGGATGATGTTATATTAAGAAGATTGTGACGGAAAAGAAAAAATAATTGTTTTTTTAATATGTATACATAATTTCATATTAATTAACTAAAACTCAGAAAATAAGATAACTAATATGTAAAGAGTGAATTTCAAAAACACCACCAACGATAAAAAAAATCCTTAAAAAAGTCGAAATAATCTAATAAAATATAGATCCATGTCCAAAAGGATATGCGGGGGTGAATTATACCTTATCTCAACATGCATTTGTACGCATGCCTGTGTCTTTCTGCGGTGGCAGGTACTGTACCCTCCACCCAAACACAAACAGTGTGTTTTTTTTTTTTTTTTAATTTTTTTTGACCCCTTTAGTATTTAGATTACTACGTACCTCCTCCTTTCATTGTGTTCCACCTGTTATCCCTTTTGTTACTTTATCTGAGTCCTTCATGTGGCGTTCAGCAGTCTTTGTCCCACCCCACACATTCTCTCTCTGTCTTCCCTCTGATCTAACTTCGATTTCTGCGAAAGTTCCTTCTCTCGTCTGTACTAATATAACCTTATAGTACTGTTCTACATTCTTGCATACGCAACATACAATATGAATAATCTTAATATTATATTAAATATAATCTTGCCACATCACGTGCAATAAATTTTATTTTATTTTACATTCTTATCCTATGTAACTTTTAAATTTTGTTTATTGTAATGCGTCATATCATATCAGTTAGTTAACTCTATCTCTTTCGAGATTAGTGTGTATTTACTATTTTTTAATTCATAAAATTATATATTTATGTACCTTATTCTATGAAAATGTTACAATACAGAAAATAAATATAATTCTAAATTAAAAAATGTAAAGATATAAGAAAAATAATACAAATCAACCAATATAAACATTAATAATATTTTTATCCCTAAATAATTACAATGACGGTAACTGAACCTAAATAAAAAACAATAAGTAATAATAATAATAAAGTAAAAAATAAATAACAGAAAATAATAAATAATGAATAAAAAGGAAAAAAAATTAAATTAGAAAAAATGATACATAAATATAAATGTAATTTTTTAATAAGATAAATACAAATTTAATAAGAAATAATTTAAAAAAGTGAAACTATCCTTATTATTTATATTAATCTTTAATTTTGTACATTTTAACTATATTGTATTTAGTTTTTAGTATTAATTATAAGAAGTATCTGAAATGCATTGTCTTGCAAATGCTTATTATATGTATGGTTATTATCTTTTAATATCAATTGTAAAAATTAATTTGTAATTTTGATAGTGAAAAATGATAAGAATTGATATAGTTAATATGCACAACCTTAATAGTTCATTGTAAGAAAATTATTATGATTATCTTATAATTTCTTCATCTAAATCATGTTCAAAAAAAAAAAAAAATTCATGAATCACTCGTCGTCTTTGAGCTTATCCAAATTCTTCGTTTTACAGAGGAAAATTTTTTTTTAACCAGGTAAATACAATTATTGAAAAAATAGTGGGAAAATAAAATTACTGGTAAAGTTGAAAAAAGTTATTTGATAAGGCAAAATATTATCGAAAAAAATTAATTGAATTTTCTAAGTTATGTTTGCTTTAAGGTAAAATATTGATGGAAAAATAGATTAAAATTACAAAAGTAACTCCTTTAATTTTTGAATCTCAAATAAAAGTAAGAGACTGATAACAACAGTATATCTCAGGGTTATTTTCGTCTCCATCTCGTGCTCCTTTTCTCCGTTTCCCAGCAAACTCCAAAATACCATGTCGCAAGTGATTTTCTAAAATTATAAATTTCTTCAACTTTTGCAAAGAAACCAAAACTCTAGGCAACAGATTTGCCTGGTTATATTTTTTGGACTCTTGTATCAAATATGATTGTGAGAGAATACCAATGAAAATTATATAGACAACTGTAATAAAAACCTCTACCAAACAGCCATAAGGTAATTTAAGTCGCGTTGGTTTTGCCCAAAAGTCAATTCACAAGAGTTTTGAGCCGTATTTTTAGAATCAGGCGAGATGGCCAGTGCAACTATTGGACCGATGTTAAACTCACGAATGAATTACTTTCAAATCGGTTTTCAGGGCTTTTGACCATACTAATTCAAAATTTAATCCGATCAAATTCCTGATCAAACTTATTATTAGATTAAAACAAAATAAAACTTTAATACTATCACTCAATGTTATTAAAACCGGCTTGGCCTAGTTGAAGTACCGAGTCACCGGGTCACTGATTCAACCGCATGACTCGATAATTATATATAATTTTATAATTTATATTAAAAAATTATAAGCATACTCAAATATCTAAACAAAATGATAAAAATTTCAAATATTTAAATACAAAAAATAATAAATCACATATTATTATCAAATAAAAAATCAAACAAAAATATAATAATCGTGATACGAAGCTTTAGGTTCAGAAAACAACATCTCTAATTATAAATTAATTCAAAATTTTATACATAGTACATAATTGAGATAATATTAGTGTTGTAGGTACATAACTTATGTAAAAAAATATTGAAATATGACTATTATAATTTTTTTTGAGACCGGACCGGGTCACCGGTTAACTGACCGGATCACCGGTGTTTACAAAAATCAGCCGGGTTGAACCAAATTGCACCGATTCTGATGCATGATCGATCTGTTACTTCAACTAACCTAGTTATATAACCGATTTAACGATTCTCGCGTCAATCCGGCCAAAATTTTTAATAATTATGCGTATCACCACGTTAATATACACAACATTTGATACCGTGTTACACGCAAATCAAACAACTTAAATGCAGCAAAATCAGTACCGTGTTTGGCCAAACAAAGACACGCCACTTTTCCTACCTAAAAAACTATGACAGGGTGTTTGTTTCAAGTTTTTGAAGAGGATTACCGGTAATCCTTCTTTGGTAAATGTAATTACCACGTTTGGTAGAAAAAATAAATTACGATTCCCGGACATCTAAGGATTACTGGTAATTTGATTTATAAAGAAAAGTCACTATTTAGATTACCAAAAATAATATGGTAATTCGGAATACCAATCAGAATACCAAGCAAAAGGGAAAGCACAACAATAAATTTTGAGACAAAAATACCCCAGTACACATAAAAATCTAGATCCAATCTATCAATTACAAAAGTAAAAATAGTTTGGAGTTATTTTTGTAAAATAACCTCATATTCCAAGTCATATTTCGTTCTAAACCAAATATGGAATCAGTAATTTTCACTCAATATTCCCGGTAATATTTTGGCGAACCAAACACCTTTTTCGTAAGATTCTAAGTAAACTCAATTTCTACTGAATTCCCATTAATCATGATTTCCGGTCACCAAAAAATTTCTCTTGTACCAAACACACCCTGAAGGAAACAAATTATTCTCACTACTAGAATAAATAGATATTTTTATAGTATTTAGATATTTTTATCAGTTATCTTAAATCCATTATTTTAATTTACTAAAGTATGCAAATAATATGAATTTCAACTAAGTTAAAAATTAATGCCTTTTAAAAAAATTATTTAGTTCTCTAATTTGAGGTGTATAATTATATTTTTGAAAAAAGAACTGATGATATAGCTTATTAATTTATCTAAAAATTTTGAAGGCCATAATTAATTAATTTATTGTTTATAAATAGTAATAATTATACATTTGAAACAGTGCTATACTGCTATAGAAATGGTTTAAAATAGAGAGCCGATGGAAATTGCAAGCAAATGTTGTGTCTTTGTTTGGTCAAATACAATTTTGACTCTGTCGTGCCTAACTTGTTTGATTTGTGTGTAATACGGTATCAAATGTTACGTGTTTTAATACAGTGACATACTAGCACGTCATTTTATATTAGTCTGATACTAGATTTATCAGAAATTTAATCTGATCAAATTTTTTAAATTTTGAATTAGTATGGTCAAAAGTCCCGATTTCAAGTTAAATCTTTTTTTTTTTTGGATAATTGATTCTCAATAATGCATTTATTGAGCATTCAATCAAAGATTTTTTAAATAATTTTTAATAAGAAGTTGTAATACCTAATACTAAATGATAATTACTTTTTTAATTATAATATTCCTATTATTATATTTAAAACATATTTATATAAATTTAATTGCATAAGTTCAATACATAATACATTACATTGGTTTTGAGATTTGAAAATTTAGTAAGTTTAGTTAAAATTGAAGACAATGACACAAGTGGTGTATCTTATCTTGAGTAGGGTGACATAAAGCAAGGATGTTTTATTGTATTATACTAATTTATCCTTTGCCGCCTTTGTTTTTACCATTTTTAACCCTCAACTCACTGCTACTCTACTCTTTAGGCTCTTACTCCAACAACTCCTCCTACGCACTACAAGTGCATTCTAGCACCGCCCCTCAACCACTTTTTTCAGAATCAAACAACACGTGTCACCGCGTGATCCATCCACGTCAGCAGCTTCGTTGTACCCCTCTTTCTTTCTTTTCTCTCTTTCCATTTCACCACTACCTTTACTCTCTCTTTGTTTCTTCTTTGCTTTACCACCATTCATTCGTTCGTTCTAAAAATCCATTCATTGATTCGAACCTAGGGTTTTTATTTTCTGTGCTTCCGTCAACTGAGTCACAACGCACCCACCATGGGGTCCATCCCCGATCCCGGCGAGTTGACCGAGTTGGCTCAGCCCAGCTTCGACGAGTTCCAGCGCCAAACCTCCCTCATGACCAGCTGCACCCTCCTTTGGAAGGAGCTCTCCGATCACTTCTCCTCCATCGAGAAAGATCTTCTCAACAAATCGGAAGCTCTAAAGCGCAAGATTCGCTCCCTCGACCACCAGACCGACCAGTCCCTCCACCTTCTCGACAGCCGCGAAACCTCCATCGACGGCAGCGTCCAGATCGCCATCGGTAACGTCGACAAGCGCAGGGACGCCGCCATCTCCGCACTTGTTGATGAAGAAGCCGAGGACGGTGAGGTCGATAATGGTGAGGGTTTGATGCTGAAATTGAAGTCGTTCTGCCTGAGGATGGATGCGTTTGGGTTTTGGGGTTTCGTGATTGGGAAGAAGAAGGAGTTGGAGGCTCTTAGGGCTGAGATGCCGGTGGCGCTTGGGGAGTGTGTGGATCCAGCGAAGTTCGTGCTGGAAGCGATATCGGAGGTGTTTCCGGTGGACAAGAGAGGGGAGAAAGGTGTGAATGACTTGGGTTGGGCTTGTGTGTTGGTGCTGGAGTCGCTGATTCCGGTGGTGGTGGACCCTGTGATTGGGAAGTCGAGGCTGTTGGTGACTCCCACCGTGAAGGAGCGTGCCAAGGAGATTGCTGAAGCTTGGAAGGCGAGCCTGGAAGAGCGTGGTGGAATCGAGAATGTGAAGACCCCTGATGTTCACACCTTCTTGCAGCATCTTGTTACCTTTGGAATTGTGAAGGAGGAGGATTTGGATTTGTATAGGAAGCTTGTAATTGCCTCTGCCTGGAGGAAACAGATGCCCAAGCTTGCCCTTTCCCTTGGTCTTACTCAACAAATGCCTGGTATGGTTGCTTTGCTATCTTCTTTTCTTTTTTTCCTTTTCAAAAACAACTATTATGTGAAATGGGAATGTCATAAATATTATTTACTCACCATAATTCTTCTCCTTTAATGTCGTTAGGATGCTTTAGTAAGCTAGTGTCGCTTTTCCATTACTCTTCTCCCTTGTTTTCCCCATTTATGAAGTGAGTCACGGAGCTTTAGTCCTAGGATCTAAAAACTGTTGTGGTTAGTGAATCGTTCTGGTTTCGTCAACAACTTAAGGCTTTATGAACAAACAAAAAGGGTCTTTCTATTCAAGAGGTCCAGTGGTTGATCTTATTCAATTTCTGCGTATGAGTTGTGTACATATTGGTCTTGTCTGTAGTACATCCAGGACTGAATGCAAATATCTGTTTATGTTTGCAGATATGATTGAAGAGTTGATCAGCAGAGGTCAGCAGCTTGATGCAGTTCACTTTACATATGAAGTGGGTCTTGTGGATAAGTTCCCCCCTGTACCACTGCTAAAATCTTTTTTGAAGGATGCAAAGAAAGTTGCAGCGTCTATATCGGAAGATCCTAATAATGCAGGCCGAGCTGCGGTATTTTTCTTATTATTTTATTGAGTAACATATAATTATTTCATAACTTTTTGTGTGGTTTACTAGTTTAATGTTGTGGAAGCTAAACTGTCTTTTATGCTCAATGAGTAGTAGCATGTCTCTTTCTTCATTTCAATGCTGATCTCATATTTAGGTGTAGTCCCACTGCTGACCTTAGATCACTGGTGCTGTTAACCTGTGAATGTGTAGTTGATAGATGTCCGCAAGTTTTTCTCTTTTTGGTTTCATTGTTTGTATAGAGTATGCAGCTTAGAAAGACTGCTCTTAGACGTGTGTTTGAGATAAGGGAAGGGAGTGTTGATATCCTTCTTCTCAGTGTTAATATTTAGATAATACCGATTTGATCTCTGATTCTTCTCATCTATTTGTGCTGCTTTTTTGATTAGTTCGGAGAAAAAAAGCTGGAAATGGTAAAAGTGCTCTATTGTATTTTCTTTACTTATTAGAAGTGGGTTACTAGTTAAACTGACTTTTTTTTTTTTTTTTATAATGCTGAATATGATCCCCCAGTATCTAGCTGCAAGAAAAGAGCAGTCTGCACTCAGGGCCGTGATTAAATGCATTGAAGAGTACAAACTTGAGGCAGAGTTCCCCCCAGAAAATCTGAAGAAGCGACTTGAACAGTTGGAGAAGGTCAAGATCGAGAAGAAGAAACCAGCTGCTGTCCCTGCCAACAAAAGAACACGAGCAAGCAACAGCAATGGAGGACCAATGCCCCCAGCCAAAGCTGGCCGTTTGACTAATGCTTATGTATCATCTTTCCCCGCTGCTCCTACATTCGTGAGGTCTCCATCACACGGGCAATACCCAGCTGCTCTTCCACCATATCCATCCCCGCCCCACATGTATGGCAGCAGAAGTCCCCCAGCAAATCATTATGCTTATTCACCAGAGCCAGCGCCAGCTATTGCAGGATCCTACCCAACGGCTCCCATGAACTATCCTGCATATGGTGGCTATGGAAATGTTTTGGCACCCACTTATCAGCAGGCTTACTACCGATAGAAATGACAACCCCTTCAAGATGGTAACTACTGATATGACGATCATGATCCCATTTACTTTCGCAATGTTGTTTGTAATCACTAACCGTTTAACGGTAGCAGTTGTGTGTGTTAATTATAACTACTGTCCCACTTCCTGCTCTGCATGGCGAGAAGTTGTATTTCTAATGATGATCCCCGTAGTACTAGGTGAATGTGGAAAGTAACTAGGACGGCCGAGAAACATCAGAAACTCAACTACCACTGTTCGGTTTAGTTGTAGAAAGACTTACTTTTACTGTGTTTACCTTATATGCTTATCCTGGGATCAAACTGAAGAAAAAGAAAAAAAGAAGGTAATATGTTTCTTGGCAGCTGTTGACTATGGTATAAAGTCTATGAAGGAAATAATCTTGTCTGAGATGAATGTATCATAATCCCGCAGTTTTAGTTATTAATTGTTCCATTACATGCTCCTCTTGTTGCATTCCTTCCAAATGAAAGATGATAAGGGGAAAAGAATCTGCCTAAACCTGGCTAGGGCTGGGGGTGAGATTTGGAAGAATATTGCCACCTAAACCCAGTTTGTGATATGTATTTCGTCTGGTACAACAGTATTTTTTATTTTTTATTATTAATGAGGGAATGGGATGACGATTATTTGTCCCTAAATAACAGGAAAAAGTGTCTAGCAAACTGAGCTCAGCAACCCTCGAAAAGTAAGAAAGCACGCTGAACATTGCGTGGTTGCATTGCACGGGAGACTACGATGGAGGAAAGGAATATTTTCTCACGTTATATAGAAGTTGCAACGTCTAACTTTTCTTCTCACTCATAGTTTGGTTTTACAATAGATATTTCTTCTTGAGGACATTCAATTTTTGCTTGAAGTCCTTCACGACGATTCCTACTAAAGAAGTTGGATCTATAACTCTTTCTATACTAACTCCTGATTACTCCCAGTAGCCTTTATCTTTCACCGTTGTTCCCTGACTTTAATCATCCTTTAAATGGATATGATATTTAGCTTTGTGGGGATGTGGCAATCCGGGCTAGGAAGGGATGTGGTTGCTTCAGGAGCAAGTGGAAGCGATTGATGAACCCGTTGAGTGTCATTCCTTTTATGTTGAGGGTGAAATGGCTTTTGTTTTGAGGACATAAATTATGTGATGATTCATAGTAATATATTCAATAAACATGAGCGCAGTTCCAGGGAGCCCAAAGGATATAATATAGAACTCCAAAGAACAAGTCTTTAGAAGCTTCACAAAGTTAATAATGAAGTGACGAGTGTTACTACTTTTTATAAGCATATACGGCTCCTTATCACGAACCATTTTGCTTGGACAGTAACAAGCTCGTTGCTGTGGCAAATTCCATTTCTAAGAATGTGAAGTTGGACCTAGCTTCTAATGTTGTTGGTGTAGGGGCAATTCTGGCCCAGAGAGCATTAGCTGAGGATCTTGCATGACGTAATTTACATTCCAAGGAAACGAGAAAGAATGGAGCGGAAGCTTCAAAATTCAGTTTGTTTTTCAATTTGTCATTGACAATGACGTTGATGAGAAGAAGGTAGAGATTTAAAGTAAAGAAGACCCAAGAAGGCAATTCATGCAAAGCAGTCAGAGGCACAGCCAAACCAGAATCCAATGTCTTTGATAAAGGAAGGGCGAAGGATCCTGGTCTTGGACTTAATTGAAGTGTTGCCATGTTGTACGCCTTTGGGTGAATACATATTACTCTTACTAGATAATTGGTATTTTATAAATTTATAGTTAGTTTAATTTATTTGTTACTTAAAAAATATTAAAATGATATTAATTATTATCATTATTATTTTTTAACTTTTACCCTTATTAAAACATGTGACTCAATATGGAGCGAAGTTACTTTGGTCCGGGAGAAAAAAAATTGAATGGGACTGAGATAAGAGAAAAAGAAAAAAAGTTGAGAAGAGAGCAGAGATCCGAGAAAAAAAAATTAATCCAAGTGTCAATTTTTGAATGGAAGTAGCATGGTGGTCTTGGATTGGAGCATATTAAAAAATTTCCGCAACATGACAAATGTAAGTTAAACATTTCTATTTTCCTTTCCTAATTTCTTTTCTCCCGGATGAAAAATTCTAATTCAAACACCAGGAATCATCTTCAATGGCGGTCGATGTTTACGTTTTATGGCTTTATCCGCCCCATGAGCACATCATGATGTGTGTATTATATGATGTGTACAGAAGAACCAACAAAAGTTTGAATTAATTAAAGATGAGTCAATACGTTTAAATTAAAAAGGAAAAAAATATTAGTGAACTAACATTAACGTATTTTCCTTCTTTGTCGTTCTGAATTCGCTCAGTCAAATATAACATTAAAATCCCGAATTTGAATATTTTGTTTCTATCCACTGCGAAGTCTATAATCTAATTGCATGCACCACAACCACCCATGTTTTGCTATGATAAGGGTAAGATTATAAAGGTGCCATCTTTCAAAATTATTAGGACGAGAAGCAGGCTATGTTCAAAATCATCAATTGCCAACTACTAATTTTAGCAAATTTCTATAACTATGAGATATCTCTGACATTATTCGTAAACCAACTTGTTGATACATATTATTGAGTTTATATTCGGGGATAATAGTTTGTCATGTAACATGATACCATTTGTGTTATATTACAGACACAAACACACTGTGCCATTGTATAAAAAAGTAAAAAAAGTTGAAGTGGGTCTCATGCTATATTGAGTGTGTAGAAAAGTAGAGATTTTTCATGTAACATAACACTTGTATTTTCCTTATATTCGTAGTACTACTCTTACTCTAGGGGCATGTTTGGTACATAGTATATGATAAGGTCTGATAGTATAAGACCTGATAGTATAAGGCCTGATTGTATAAGACCTGATTGAATTTTAATATTATCCAACATTTGGCACGATATTGTATAAAATAATATATTATATAAGATAATATCATCTAGTATTTAGTAATGCACTGTATAATACTATATATGATAAAAATAAATATTTTTAATAAAAATATCATTTGATAAAGAATTTATATAATTCTTCAAAAAATGTTATATGAGATTAATTTTTATAAAAATTTATTGATCAGTGTGTCCAAAATATAAATTAATTTTTATAAAAATAAAAATATTCAATATTTTAAAAATTAATATATTGAAAAATTAATTTTTATTTTAATAGATTAATGATTCAACTCACAAACTATTATTACATAGTTCAGCTTATAATTAACGTTCATATATCCATTCCAACCCATAGTTTCCAGTTTTTGCGTTGTTTTTTAGTTTATTTTATTTTTGGTAAACTATTTTTATTTTAGTACCATTTAAAAAGTCTAATTTTAGAATGGTTTTGACAAAATAAATTGTCATCAGTCTAGACCTATTGCTACCGCTTTTTGATTGATTTTTACAAAGCAGAAACTATAATAAGATGTACATATTACTTTGACTGAGAAGAAAACAATAGTGTAATTCCCGGCCGCTTGAAAGAATCAATGATTGTCTTTACATATTAGTACGAAACTTTTCAGTATACTTTATCCTTACTCGCATCATTCTCGGGAAAATTTTTTAGGAGATCACCTATCCCAGAATTACTGTAAGTCAAACATGCATAACTGTGGAGTTCTTCCATTCCGGGCTACCGAAAGTAGATGCATATTGTTAGTATAGGTAGTACCAATTAATTCTTATAAGCTATCTCAAACTGTGCAGTCTCATACCTGCACAATCTTTGAAATTCCTCTCTTTCGGATGTCGATTCGATTCATTCGTGTAACCCCCGCTGGAAGCTTGTCAAGAGTCGCTCTTTGTCTATGCCCTTTCGCACCGGCGATCACTCCCTGCTCTCGTCAGCGCCCGGGATGTTACATGCCCACCAGTTTCCGCTTGGTTCGTCCTCGAACCACACCGTACTATGATTCGGCTTTGGAGTTGTTCCATATTATTAATAAATAGTACAACGATCACAACTTATCTAGGACCTCTTCTTTATCGTCCATCATCTCCGATAACGACATTGCAAGCCCGGCCTCAATATTCGATCTGATTAATTCTAATTATTAAAAATCCATAATTTGATTTATTTATGTAACAATTTTATTTTGGTTATTAATTCCAATATGTTTATTTGTGTCTTACTTTTAACGTTATAAATTTATTTTAAGGGATCTATTTATCTCATGTTGCATCACATAATTATCTCAAGCAACAAAGACAATATAGTGGGGGCCATTATTTCTAAAAAAAGAAAAAATAGTAGACTCCACTACTTTGTCTCTTTGTTGCATGAGATAATTATTTTCCTTATTTATATTTTGAATAAATTTGATTGTTGTGAAGTGGATGATGTGGATGCGAAGAAGGCTCAGTTAAAAATGGGCGAAAATGGTTGCTTATATGGCACGAATGCAAATCCAGCTTTGAAAACCATCCGCCTCCATGTAACTCATCGATCAATTCGATGATAGAAGGGATCAGAAAATAATCATTTTGAGTGATTGCGTTCAGGGCTCTATAAATCGTGCAAAATCGCAATGTGCTGTACTTTTTGCGCATAAGTAGTACATGAGATGAGAATAAGCTCATGTTGTGATGAATAATCCTTGCATCTAACATTTTTGCGGTGAGACACTTAATTTCCCTCCTCTGAGAATACGGACACCGGTAAGGATGAACGTTGACAGGATTGGCCACTTCTATTAACACAATATAATGATCTGTTGGTCGCGACGGTGGAAGTTGCATTGAATTGGTGCAAATCGCTGCAATAGTTCTTTGATCATTATGGGTATGGTTTCCAATTGGGGGTTCACAGTGGTTTCAGGTACAACTTGCAGCTGACACATCTTAGCATTGGACTGGGTTTGCACCATCCATCGCATTTAGGCTGCGGAGACTTCTTGGGCCTACTCAAATTTGTTGAATAAACGTTAAATGTGGAGTTATGTGTCAGTTTAATTTTTGATGGGTTTAATTCAGCAATCAATTTAGTTTTAAATGGGTTTAATTCAGCAAACGTTAAATGTCAGTTTTATGTTTTTAAGTTTCTGAAATTATGTGAGTTTATTGTGATGTTAAGTGTCTTTATTGTAGAGTTACAAGTTTTGTAATTTAAAAATCTATTGTTTGAATGTAAAAGTTACGACTTCTGCCTTAGTAAAAATCCTTTGTTTTACTCTTCTCCTAACAAATTGGTATCAGAGCTATGGAAAGGGGGAGTGATATGGCACTACCTAAGTTGACGAAGGAGAACTACGAGAATTGGAGCATCCAGATGAAGGCTCTTCTCGGATCCCAGGACGCTTGGGAGAATGTTCAAGCAGGTTTTGTAGAACCACAGGATACTGGAGGCTATTCGGCGGCTCAAACTAAAGCGTTGAAAGAGACGCGTGCAAAAGACAAGCTGGCGTTAT